AAATTAACCAAACAGTTTGCATTTTGTAAATTAAAAAACCCAGTGACATAAGGAACAATTCAGTATTTTATTGAATTTTTAAGACTTGTATGAAGTCACAATGCTGCAATGCACCAATGATTGCAAGGAGTGCACTGCCAATGTCAACAACCCAAAATGGATTGATAATGAAGAATAATAATACAGATTTACACTGTATGACAAAGAAAATCTAATCCTCTGTGATTGAATTTACTCAACATTTTCTTTATAAAATACATCTTAAAATGCAAAAGGCTATTGCACAATCCTGAATGATTCTAGACAATTATTCTGAATATCAATTTGTCTTTTGATTTAAGAAAAGGGTGTTTATTGTAGGAAAAAAAGGAGGCTTAGTGTACAGTGGCAGAATGAGACATCATGACTCCCACACAGGAGGATTCAGCACAGTCATGTTTTGTTCCAATAGTTAATTCCATCTTGAGGGAGCTCACGTATACCAGTGTTCTACACAAAGATTATTGATACCAAAGATAGTCACATTGTTTTTAACCTAAAGAAGCAAACTGCAGACTCAACTGAATGTGTTTATTAAATGGCCACATTGTTGACAGGACATGGCACACGAAGTCTATGCTTCTACCCTTCGTGAAATGCCCTGCCAAAAAAATGGCAGCAACCAAGTACATACAACACATCAGGTTATTTGGTCACCAACATTTTTAATTTAACTAGCAGGCTGTTTCACAAAAAAAGAAGATTTTGAGGGGAAGATTAATGCACTAGCTGCGTGGTGTCAGCAAACATAATCATTAAAAAAAAAATTCAACCTATTCAGAAGTATTGTGACATTACTGGAGCAGGTGGGACTTCAACTCAGGCCTTCTGGCTCAGAGGTAGGGACACTACCACTGCATCACAAGAGCCCCCAAACACAACCATTCTTGAGGGCAATTTGGAATGGAGAATACCAATGAATGTGGTTAAAAATAATAATGGGGTTGGGAGGTGCTCTTTATGCCAAAAGTAATCCCTGTCCTCTCCCAACTTCTTTAAGTTGCTATATCTTTTAAAAATACCAAAGAGAAGATTTTTTCCAGTATAAAAAACATCTCCCACTTCCATCTTTATTAAAAAAAAATCATGGGATCATTGAATCCCTAGTGTGGAAGCAGGCCATTTGCCCCAACGAGTCCACACCAACACTCTGAAGAGCATCCCACAGACCCAAATCCCTCACCATATCCCTATAACCCTGTATTTCGCATGGCTAATCCACACAGCTTGCATATCCCTGGACACTACAGGCAATTTAGCAGGGCCAATCCACCTAATCCACACATCTTTGGACTATGGGAGGAAACCGGAGCACCCGGAGGAAACCCACGCAGATACAGGGAGAATGTGCAAACTCTATACAGCCAATCATCTGAAGATGGAATCAAACCAATTCCTTGACACAGTGGTACTAATCATTAAGCCACTGTCCTGCTCACTGCTAATTATTCTCAATTCTTAAATGGCCCTAATATGGTGGTAAGCCATTTTTGTGAATACTTTGCTCATTTCAGGAGGGAGCGTAAGATACAGTCACAGACCAGGCAAAAGGAGGTAAATTTTCTTCACTAAAGCACATTCATATACAAGATAAATTTTTACCACAATCCACAGGTTTCAAGGTTCTGATACTTGCATTTTATTCCATTTAATTGATTTTAACTTCCCCAGCTACCAAGGCAGGATTTGAACCAGTCCTTGGATCATTAGTACTAGGATTGTCTATTATCTGTTCAATAAATATGACCCTACAATCTGTACACTCCCAGAACACAATAACTGATTTAGTAACTCTTCCAAGTATTTCAAATCTCCCTTTCCACAGTCAGTTTAAGGAAAATCCAAATAGCAGAGACAGCCCTCCCATGCTGGGCTGAAAATTAATGTTAATGGCCCCTAACCAGGAAATGTTTATACCAGTTCATCCCAGTTTCAATGCTTTCAAATCATGAATCATTTCAGACTATGCCCTTGGCCATCACAACAGCTGCCTCTGACTGAACACAAATATCATCAGGAGCAAAAGGTTTTATTAAGCCCACAAGTACTTTTTAAAATAACTGTTTATGCAAGTACTCTTTGAATTTTGATCCTTAAATGAGCAAGATTATGATTGAACATTTTTAAGTAGAATATATTAACATTTCATGAGTAAAACTGCATTTATAAAATCCATACTTCAGAATTAAAAACAGTGCGCCACACACTTGAATTGTATAAACAATGTGCACCTTCAAATCTGACATGCCTAACACAAGAGCAAGACATAACAAAGTGTGGAGCTGGAGGAACACAGCAGGCCAGGCAGCAGAGGAACAGGAAAGCTGACATTTCGGGTCAGGGCATTTCTTCCGAAATGAGGGGAGGGGAGGGGAGCTCAGAAATAAACAGAGAGGAGGGATGGGGCTGGGGAAAGTAAGTGGGATGGTGATAGGTGAGTGCAGGTAGGCAGTGGTGGGGATTGGTCAATGAGGCAGGAGTGGTGGATAGGTGGGAGAGAAGATGGACAGGTTGTGTCAGGTCAAGGAGGCGGGGATGAGAGGGAGGGTTGATCATGGGATGAGGCTGGGGTTGGGAAAATTTTGAAACTGGTAAAATGTACATTTAAGCCATTGGTCTGTGGCTCCCAAGGCGGAATATGAGGTGCTGCTCCTTCAGTTCGTGGGTGGCGTCATTGTGACACTGGAGGGGGCCAAGGATGGACATGTTACCCAGGTAAGATGGGGGGGGATAGGATTTGTTGTTCTTTGTTGCATACAGAGCACAGATGTCCTACAAAACTGTTTTGCAGAAAACTCCCTGGTTGACATGTCCATCCTAGGCCGCCTCCAGGTGCCACAATATCACCACCCGCAAACTGGAGGAGCAGTACCTCATATTCTGCCTCGGGAGTCTACAGCCCAATAGCCTAAATGTGCATTTTACCAGTTTCAAAATCTTCCCACCCCCAGCCTCATCCCATGACCAACCCTCCCTCTCATCCCCACCTCCTTGACCTGACAACCTGTATCTTCTCTCCCACCTAACTGACCAATCCACACCAGTGCCAATCTGCACTCACCTATCACCATCCCACCTACCCCTCTTCTCTCTATTTATTTCTGAGCTCGCTTCCCCTTCCCCATTTCTGAAGAAGGGTCCAGACCTGAAACGTCAACATTCCTGCTCCTCTGATGCTGCCTGGCCTGCTGTGTTCCTCCAGCTCCACACTGTTATCTCTGACACCAGCATCTGCAGTTCATGCTATCTCACAAGAGCAAGACTGCTGTCCAGGAAAGACTGCACACAATACATGCTTTACCTATACAACACATGCAACATCATTCACTGCTCCCTTCAGCAGTCTCACCATTACTTTCATTTGCTTATTTGTATCACACAGTATAAGTGGCCACAAATGTTATTTTGTTTTTTTAAAAGACTTGGGCATATTAAGGTGGTATTTATTTGTCACATTAACCTTGTTAAAAGCAATCCTGCTGCACACATCTTTAAAAGGCTACTTCACAAAATACAACCCAATTTAAGTCCAGGAAAAGTCAGAGGGATTTTTCATATGTTTTTGCATAATGTGAAAAGCAAGACAAAATACAATTTCACATCCTGTGTTACAGCCTAGATGGTCTTAACAGTAGGCTAAACTCACCTCTCAAACCAATATTAATGCATCAAAATTTATGCAAGTGTGCTACAGACATTGATAGAAAATAACAAGGTCAGAAATCAAAGAAATGAGGAAGAAACTGGATACTTATAACAAACATTTGGAAATGCAATTCTGGAAGTTAGAAACAAAAAAATGCTGGCATTTCAAGTCAGATCACAAAGCAGAATGCACAGCTAGCAACCAGACAGCAAATGTAGGAGAAGGGTGGACATGTCACAGGAACAGGCATTTGGCCCGAACAGTCTATTTTTTGGGGGCCGGGGAAACTTTGCACTCAATTTGAGCACGTTCTCATCTACTTACATCAAAACCTATATTATCATTCTTAACTTTACATCTTCATTTTCCCTCACAAACACAACTTCTAAAGGTCATCTTAAAAGAAACACTGGATTTCTTTTACCCAAGAATTTCTCAAAAACCCATGGTTTGCAATGGACAAGTGTGACCAAGTGGAACCAAGTCATGGAGAGTTTCAAGGTAAAGACTGTGGATTGTAAATTCAATTGATTTAAAGACAGTAGAAGTCAGTATAGATGCTTTCAATGAATGAGTGATATAGATCTAGACTAGATACAGCAGGTAACCAGGAGTGTTCATTGTATGTTGGTCCTTAGAACATAAATACAGAACAGTACAGCACAGGAACAGGCCCTTCAGTACACCATTTCTGTGCTGACCATGATGCCATTCTAAACTAATCGCATTTGCCTACACATGGTCTGTATCCTTCTATTCCCAGCCTGTTCATGTGTCTGGCCAAATGCCTCAGTTGTGCTTTTAATAAAGAGAGAATTGGAGTAGAAGAGTAGGGAAGTCTTATTGCAACTGTACAAGATGCTGGTGAGATCACTTCTGGGAATCCTGAGAGCAGTTTTGGTCCCCATATTTAAGGTATTATTTCATTGGTGGCAGTTCACAGCAAGTTCACTAGCATGATCCCTATTAATCAAAGGATTGTCTTATGAGCAAAGGTTAAACAGGTTGGCCTCTACTCATTGGAATTTAGAATAATGAGAGGTGATCTCATTGAAACACAGGATTCTAAAATGAGTTTAACAGGGTAAATACTGAAAGGATGTTCCCCCTTATGGGAGAGTCTAGGACCAGAGGGCATTGTCTCAGAATTACAGAGCACCAATTTAGGACTGAGATAAGGGGCAACTTCTTCTGAGGGCCGAATGTCTTTGGAACTCCTTGCCAGACACTGTAGGTCAAAGTCCTTGTGTATATTTAAGGCCAAGACAGATGAATTCTTGATCAGTAGGGGAATCAAGTATTACGGGGAAGGGCAGGGAAGGCAGGAAAGTGGACCTGAGGAATGCTGGATTAGCCATGATGCTATTGAATGGTGGAGCAGGCTCAGGGGGCTGAAAGGCCTACTCCTGTTTTTTTCTAAATTGTCAATACAGATCGAGATTGAGGCTTTTGTTGCTCACTCACAGGATGTGGGCACCCATGGCAAGACTAACATTTGTTGGCTATTTCTATACAACTAAATGATTTACTGGTCAACAGAGGGCAATTCAAAATTAACTACAGTTCTGCAGATCAGGAGTCACATGTAGGCCAGACCAGGTAAGGTTAGCAGATTGCCTTTCCTAAACAGCAGTGAATCAAGAGATTAAAACAAAAACTGGGAACTTCATGATCGTCAGTGAATACAACTGTTATTATAGATTGATTTAGTAATTGAATTCAAATTCTCTCTAGGTTGAAGTCTGGCCTCTCGATTATCAAATCAACACATAACCTATGTAACTTTACATAATCAAATCACTACACTACCCAAACTTTTGGGGAATTGGAATTTATGGTAGAGATTCCGAAACTATGCATCATGACTCCCAGTGAAATTAAAGGTCACACGGGGGTCACAATCTGCATCTCCTTAAAACAACTATGACAACCAAGGGGGAAGAGACTACCAGCCTGAACCCACTGGATTAATGCAGGCAAACAGAACAAGTGAGCTCAAAGAGCTCACTCTTTTGACTTCAATAAATATTTCTAATATGGAGTTCAGGTAGGCCTGGAATGTTTCATAGAGTGTTTGCTGACACTTGGTGCAATGATTTTGCCAGGATCCAATTTGTGTATATGCAGTTCAGCCCTTACAAATTCATGTCAAATCCTGATGCAATCATAAATTGCAATGTACTCTATAAAAATAAATTACAGCCAGATTGGGTCCTTACTGCACATCCGCCAATTGAAAGCCTGTACTTTTCAGCGCCAAAATAAACTGCGATGTGCAGAAAAGAAGTTAAGGGCTGTAATTTCAAAGCCATGGAATTTTTTGTCACAGATTATATTGAATTTAATTTTTTTCATTTACTTATCAATTTGTTCATTAGTCCAAATAACTTGCCAACGTGCTTCAGGCAGAGGACAACAAAGACTGATGTTCCCAACATGAGGGGAAAACCAGAGGTCATGTGGTTTAGCTGAGAAGGTGAGTTGCTGGCTCTAACTTTATTATTGTGTTCCTGCTCCTGCAGAACAGGCTCCTCAGCCTCCCAGACTGAAATTCTGTTGTACTGGTACTGGCAACAACTCCCAAACAAACCAAAGGAAACAGGAGTTAGTGTGAGAGTTATGATGATAGTTGGGGGAAAGAGTGCTGACTGAATAAATGGGTAGAGGGGGAACGGAGGAACAGGCTAGTGTAGAGAGTGGATTGACATTCAGAAGAGAAGTGCACTGCGGTTGTGGTGGTTTGATTACAATTAAATTGTGATAGTGGGGAAGGGAAATTATATAACTAATTATACAAAACATTAACAATGTGCTATAAAGCACAGATTTTCATACTTACGAGATGTATATGTTGATCTGGAACACACAAACTTAATCACATTTTGAATGTCAATGTGCCGGCATCTGGGGTCACACTGTTAAAAATTAGGTCAGACAGAAAAACTGTAGGGAAGCATAATGCTGTTCCCTTCTTCCTCATGTGCTTGTCCAGCCTTCCCTTGAACACACTTTCCTCTATTACAGCACACTTTCCCCTACCACAGATTAGGAGTCCATTTCACTGAGCACCCGCTGAGGGTGACTCACCATATTAACTCCTCCTGCTTGTACTTGAAACTCTGTCTTTAGCTTCCAATAATGTTGCAAGCAAACTGCAAGAACAGTACCACACATTTCTCCATCCGTCTGGTTTTGAGCAAATATCCTCAGTAACTTCAGAGATCTGGGCTCATCCTTGCCATTCAGGGCACCAACACAGTTTATTTAAAATGGAGACTTAAATGTTGTTTGATTTGGAAAGTTGACAATTCTTTTTTAACATGGCACAAATCTGGTAGCCTATTGACCTGCATGTGCTAACTCCAGCACCACTGAACTAATCCCATCTCTACTCTTTCCCAACAGTCTTTCATTATTCAGATCTTATCTCAGTGTTTTTGTATAGTGCTGAAGGAAGCTGATATAATTAATGGCGCGCATGTATGTTTGAGATCGAGTGGCTGTTTTTCACTGGTTACAATCCACACATTAAACAGCTCTTTTCTCCCCAGGTTGAAAAAGAATTAAATGGATCACTATAATGAGCCAAAATGACAGCTAATTCAAAATGGTATAATACAGATATATAGATCTGAAAAGATTTTAACAAGTTCTCGGAACACAACAATATAATTCCACTCCTTTAAAGAGTGCACAAAATTATACAATAGCCTGATAAGGACCTGGAGGAATAATTAGATTGGACAGACCTATAATAAGCATTCTGCTCAATAATTTTTAAGTTGGTGTTGAATCTACAATGCTGAAAACCTGCTTAGGCAATTAGAGAAATTAAACAAATTGGTTTTAGATACTCAACAGGAACAACATGTTCTAAATGAACCTAGATGACATGACATGACAAGACAAAGCAACAGAGTCAGAGTTTTGCACTGCATCTTAATGGTGCATGATAAACCAGCATCAGTCCAAACAACTACTCTCTACAGCTGCAATGAAAGTACGAGCACAGGATATGCCTTCTGCCAATCAGGTGTAGATAATATTGATATTTTTCCTGGAATAACCAAAAACGTGCTGTATTGTAGCATCACAATTAAGTGCAGCTAACCGAACACCGATGGAAATGGAGGTTGGAATCTTCTTCACTTTAGCATTCAGTGCTGCACAGAACTAAATCATTACCCATCGAAGCATTGAAGAGCTGGTGAAAGAAGCGTTGTGACAACATGGGGAAATTTCTGAATGTTCACCTATTTTTAGCTGGTCAGAAATTCAAAGAACATACTTATAGTACAAGAAATTAAATATCTTCAGTCAGTACAGTAATGTAAACACAATATCAAATGTAAAGATCTAGTTTGCATTATTAAGAATACAAATTGCCCACTCACTATGAAATTTGCACAGCATGATTTTTGATTAATAGTTAATGTATTTATGCCATTGTGCTGTCACAGCACTATAACTACATTCTAACTCCATCATTCACCACGTACAGTCAGGCCAATTCCCGAAAACTTGTGAATGAGGGCCAGGTGATGCTTTCAAATCATGACTGAAAACCACACTGTGGTGATGTTTCAATTTCCAAAAATACAGGCTTCCAGCTGAAAGTTGGACAAATGCCCTTTGACACAAGGTTGCAATGAAGTTAGGAGTACTGCAGATTAAATTCCAGTTCCGACTTTCTCTTGAAATGCATGCATCTGATCTACTGTGCAGGTGTAGCCACTAAAGGAATGCACAGTATGTGCTTATAGAATAGAATTAATGGAAGCTGTGACACACAAGACAAAATAAGCCTTCAAAAACAGTAGATCTGCGCTTGTTGTTACTTCAAATGCATAATCTTCCGAGCGGAGATATTTTCTATAAACATGTTAGGTATCAGCTTGGGTGGATAGTAGAAAAGAAGCTTTGTTATCACATCACTTAGTCCTTAAAAACTCTGATAATTATTTCAAAGTAAGTGATCAGAATGAGCCTTGCAATCTTTTCCAAATACTTATTTCAATTGTTACGATGCAATGGGAAGGTATCAGAGATCAAGAACCTGTAGGCTGAATCAACTGACATCCAATGTTACGAGACAGATGCCCTCACAGTCTTGACTCCATTGGAGCTGAGTGTCCGTGACCTCTGCCTCAGCAGCTGCCTTTCAGGAATGTCAAAGCTCTCAAAGAACGGGTTGTTGACAATGTCCACAGCCTCTGGTCGTTCAGCTGGTTCATGAGAAAGCATTTTCTGCACCATTTCATGCTGCGCCAGGAGGGGTTTCAAAAATTCAGAAAAGTTAATTTCCTCACAGCATACTGTTTAAATTTGGTGAACTTCCATCATGTTGTTAATATATTGTCTAAAGATCTCTGCACCATATTGTGACCAATGCCACATCACAACTTACAAAGAAAGAGGAGATTTAATAAATTGGTTTCAGTTATCAGAGTCTGGGTTTGTTTTCTTTAGAGACCAAGAAGATTTAGTTGGGAAGGTCAACATTACAAGGAGAAAAAGATAGGAAGAAACTATCTACTGACACTAGTGTCAGTAACATAAATGCTGTGGCACATTTAATATAACTAGAAAAACCTAATTGAGAGAAATGATTTTACGCCACAAACTCTTATCAATAGCTTGCAAAAAAATGCAGCAAGCTGTCACAAGGTGCTTCACAGTAGTGAAACAAAATTTGATATTGAGCTACGAGATATTTGGACAGATGACAAAAAAGCTTGGTCAAGAGGCAGCATCTTCATGGAGGAAAGCAACTTAGACAAATTGATTAAAGTAGGGGTTTTAAAAAATTCATGGGATGTAGGTGTCATTAGCTGGACTAGTGCTCATTGCAAATCCTTATTTGCCCTTGAAAAGATGGTGATTGTTTTAAGTTGACTTCTTGAACCACAAAAGTCTATTTCATGTACGTACACCAACAATGTTATGAGCGAGGGAGTTCCAAAATTTTGGCCCAGTGTCATGGAGGTAACGATGATATATGGAATGGCAAGTGGCTTGGTGGGGAACTTGCAGGCAGCGGCATATCTGCTGCCCTGGTCTTTATAAATGATAATGGTCATGGGTTTCAAGGATGCTGTCTAAAGAGCCTTGATGAATTTCTGCAGAGCATCTTATAAATGACATACACTGCTGCCACAATGCATCTGTGGTGGAAGGAGTGACATTTGTGATTGTAATGCCAATCAAGCAGGCCACTGTGTCTTGGACAAGCTCCTTGTGTGTTGTTAGTGTGTTGCAAGTGAGGCAAGTGAGGAATATCCAAACAGACTCCTGACATGTACATTGTAAATCATGGACAAAAAACTTTGTGGAGTTACAGATGGGTTACTCAATGCAAGATATCTAGCCTCTGACATGCCTTATAGCCACAGCATTTACATGGCTGGTCCAGTTCAGTTTCTGGTATCCCCTGGGGACTCTGTGATGGTAATGCCCCGAAATGTAACAATTACAAGGTTTGGGCTTAGGCAGCTGATAGCAGAGGTGGCAATGGTGGAGCAATAAAATCAGGGATGCTTAAGCTAGATTCAGAGGAATGTTGATATCTGAAGGTGACAGAGTTTGAGGCAGTCAGTGTGGGTTAATCCATAGAGACTTGAGGAAAAGAAAAAGAATTTTAAATTGAGGCATTTATGGACAGGAAACCAATGAGAGGCGGTAATGTGTGAACAGGGCCTGATAGAAGCAGCATGGTTTTGGATTAGGGAAGTTACATAATGGGAGGCCAGCCCAAACAATATTAGGAAAGTCAAGTCTTATGGCAACAAAGCCTTGGATGAGGGTTTCAACCATCAGCTGAACCAAGGACGGAGCAGATGATGTTATCGAAGTGGAATGGGGCAGTTTTAGCAACAAACTTTCACAGTCAGAAACTCTGAAGTGAAATGACACCAGGGTTCAGAATAGTCTTGTTCAGCCACAGCCAGCTGACAAGAGGGCAGAGTCAGCAGCTAGGGATTGAGGTTTGCGCCAGAGACCAATGTCTGACTGGAATAGTGGAAGGATTGAGAGAGGCATGCATGGTGTAAAACTTAGCATCAAAAGGCACACATGGGTAACAGGGAATTGGGTTTTTAGATGATATCAGAGGGGCAGCATAACGAGAAATAAGGGAGGACTGAAGATGAAGGGGTCCTGAGGGACCCCAGTGGTAACTGTACAGGAATGGGGAGAGAAACCATTGCAGGTGATTATCTGGTTACAACTGGATACAGAAGAATAGAACTAGGGGACTGCAGTCCCATCTGGCTGGACAACAGTGGAGTGCTGCAGCAGGAGAAATATGACCAATGCTGTCAAAAGCTGCAGACAGATTAAAGAGGTTTACAGGATGTAATTTGTGACTTTGAGAGAGCAGTTTTAACTTGACATGATCATAAACCAATTTGAAAGAATTTAAACATTACAGGTAACATGGGCAAGGATTTGTCACAACAACATGCAGTCAAGGAGACTGTCAGAAGCGCATTGCCCGAAAAGGATGGAGGAGGGTTGGATAAACAGCATTTTCTAAGAGAATTGGATCACCACTCAAAGTGAAAAATGAACTGCAATACAATGGGAGAAATAATAGCAGAGGTGGGAGACTAACTGACTGCTCTCTCAAGCAGAGAGTGCATGAGAAGTGGGCCAAACTGTTTCCTTCTGTGCTGTAAGATTTTATCATTATATCAATGCCATCTAGAAACAGGAATATTTATGTGACAGATTGCCACTTTTCACAGCAATTTAAAACAGCTTCTTATAGCAATGCACCCTGGTGATGACACTGGGTTGATATTCAATATATAATGCTAAAAATGCACAGACATAATCACAGGGCAACACAGCAGAAAAATGTATGCAAAAATTGTTGAGACTATGATAATTCAACAGAAAACCCCCTATTGTGCTCACCATCTGCCAGGCCACTTGTACTGCTCAGATGGCTTGGTTGAGCAATTAAGTTTCTGACCGGGGGTTCTGTGACTAATATTCCCTTGTCAAATCAGCTCCTCTAACCCCTCTAGCCAAACTCAGCCTACAGAACCGTGAAATAGGCAGTGATGCTCAGAAGTTGATAGAAATCATGCGTCAAAAGACTAGTCACCATCTTCAACAATTACATACTCCCAGATTAGAGTTCATAACAGATGGTCACTCCCAATGTGGCCAGCTCATCAATATTTGACTATTTAATTCATTAAGCAATACATTCATTTTCTTGCAGACCATGGACTACTTTGGAGATTTATGCTTCTTCCCATTCCGTTTCCTTCCTATTCCTCATCTCTGCTTTGCACTTTATCGATTGAGATTAGGAAGCCATTGTACATGCGAAGAATTTCATCTTACCTGCTCATAGTCCAGCAGGTGGTAAGTCATGAGAGTTCCCAGTTCTGCTTATAAACTAGGTTTACTTTCTTTCTTGTTAATACCGTGTAAGCGAACACAGCAACATCAGATCGTTTGTGCTACAATTAAAGACTAAATATCATATAGTGCTTCCAAGCTCAATACTTACCTCCTGAAGATAGTCCTCTAGAAATAAAGTGGGAAACTTCAAATTGCGAACATCTGTTAATGTCTGAAAAGGGAAAGAAATTCAAATCTGATAAAAATCCTGGAATTTTTTTTAAAAAAAGAGCTAGTGTAATAGAGACCATGTACTCACTGTTAGTTGCCTTAAATACCCAATTGATTCACTGATGCCTTTTAGGAAAGGAAATCTGCCATCTTTATCTGTTCTGGCTGATGTGGTTCCTTCCCTACAGCAATGTGGTTGACTTTTAATTGCCCCCTGAAATGGCCTAGCATGCCACTTGGTTCAAAGGCAATTACGGTTAGACAGTAAATACTGACCCAGCCAGTAACTTTCAAGTTTCATGAATTTTTTTTTTCTTTAAGAAGAGGGACATCCAGGGAGCAGATCAAAGAGGAATTCGGAAGCAGAGATGTTGGTGACTTCACAATCTGCCATGGTGGGATCCAAACTCTGCTGCCTATAACTTTATTCTGGAATTCTGGATTACTAGCCCAGTGACAGTGACAGTGTCAATAAACCAACGCCTCTCCCCAGGAAAATAAAACTGCATACTTCTACCTTTCTGTTCCCCTTCAAAATGCTTTTTGAAATCTCATTTTTCACCTAAACAACACCCCTCAAAACATTTTCCAGTAGCTCACTCCCTCTCTGAATACCTCGTAAACTGCTTCCTTCTGTAGCAGAACAGTTGTGGTACTGTGACTGGTTTACCAGAATCTACATGTGGGCAATGGAAAATAACCATACTCATTAATTTTCTACCTTACCATCTGAAGGAATAACTTGCTAGTTCCCAACTGTCCAGTTTGTTATTTAATTATATCAACCAGTGGTACTGCCAAACAAAGCACATCCCCAGAAGGAAACTTGCATTGACGGATTTTATATTTAACCTTTTGCAGTTGCTGATCACAGTCATGATGTGTAGATGCTGATGTTGGACTGGGGTGGACAAAGTCAAAAGTCACCCGACACCAGGTTATAGTCCAACAGGTATATTTAAAATCATAATCTTTTGGAGTGCTGCTCCTTTGTCAAGTGAAGTCCACTTCACTTGACGAAAGAGCAGCACTCCAAAAGCTTGCAATTTTAAATAAATCTGTTGGACTGTAACCTGGTGTCATGTAACTTTTGACTTTGCTTACCATGGTGATTAGGGACAGTAACATTCACACAAGGCTGCAGATGTTCTTTCAACTAAAAAAAAATACAAGCATATGAAACAAGGGGCAGAAGTAAATCGGTCAGCCTCTTGCATCGTTCCTGCCATTCAAGTTGGTGGCTGACCTGTTTGTCCTTCGAACACTACATTTCCATCTACCTTGGATAACCCTCAAATCCTCTGCTTAACAAGCTGCCATTCATCCTCTGAAAAACATTCAATAACTTCGCCTTCACCATATTTTGGAGGCTGGGAATTCCAAAGTTCTTTTTTTTAAATTAATTCATGGGATGTGGGAATCGCAGGGTAGACTAACATTTATTGCCCAACCCTAAGTGCCCAGAGGGCAGTTGAGAGTCAACCACATTGCTGTGGGTCTGGAGTCACATGTAGATCAGACCAGGTAAAGATGGCAGTTTCCTTTCCTAAAGGGCATTAGTAAACCAGATGGGTTTTTCTTGACAATCGACAATGGAGTCAGGGTTAGACTCAATTTCAGATTTTTATTGAATTCAAATTCCATCAAACTGCCTTGGCGGAATTTGAACCCAGGTCCCTCTGGATTAACAGTCCTGCAATAATACCACTTTTTGCATCCCCATCATCTCTACAACCTACAGAGAAAAATACGCTCATCTCTGCTCTGAAAGGGCACCTTCCTAACCTTAAAACAGTATCCCTTAGTTCTACACTGACCTAAGAGAGAAAACATCCACCTTGCCAAAGCCATTTAGGATCTTGTATTTCAACCAAGTCACGTCAATCTTCTAAATGCTAGAGAAAACAAATCTAGTCTGTGCAACCTATCCTCACAAGACAACACACTCATTCCAGATAAACTCCATTGAACCATCTCCAATGCAGTTACACCATTTAAATAAGGAGACCAAAAGATCTTATGGTATTTGGGATGTAGTCTCACAAATGCCCTGCATAATTGAAAAATTCCATCCTTACGTTTATGCTCAAATCCTCTTGTAATAAACGAGAGCATTCCATTAGCTTTCTTGATTTTGTGCAGTACCGGCATATTAACCTTGTGACTTGTGCATTTGAACATAGAAATCTCTCTAAAGCTCAGAATTCTAGTCATTCTTTTTAAGGAACTTAAGTAATGCTCTGCTTTACAGTCTTCCTACCAAAATGAAAAATACCACATTTTCCCACGTGTTACAGCTGTCAGATGTTTGACCACTCAACACTATCTATACCTGTCTTTCAACTTATAGAATCATTGATTTCACAGTACAGGGGGCCATTTGGCCCATCGTGTCAGCGCAGTCTCCCAAAAGAGATACCCAGCCAGTCCCATTCTCCAGCCCTACCTCAAATATATAATCAGCTCCTGAAACGTCTCTTGGAATCCAGTTCCACTACTCTGGCTGGTCAGCATTTATCATCAGTCTCTCGTCATTCTAGCGAAGATGATGTTGAGCTGCCTTTTGCACTGCTATAGTCCATGTACTGTAGGTCGCCCCACAAAAGGAGAGAATTCAGGATTTTGACTCAGCGACATTTAAGGACAGTGATATATTTTCAAGTCAGGACGCCGAGTGGCTTGGAGGGGAACTGGCAGTTGGTGGGGTCCTCACATGTATGCTGCCCTTATCCTTCTAGATGGAAGCGGTCACGAGGTTGCAAGGGACTGTGTAAGGATCTTTGGTCAATATCGTCATGCATCTTACAGATGGTACATACTGCTGCTACTGAGTGTCACTGGTGGAGGAAATACCAGTCAAGCGGGCTGCTTTGTCCTGGATGGTGTCAAGCTTCTTAACTGTTGTTGGAGCTGCACTCATCCAGACAAGTAGGGAGCATTCCATCACAGTCCTGACCTGTGCCTTGTAGATGGTGAACAAGCTTTGGGGAAATCAGGTGGTAAGTTATGCCTAGCCTCTGACCTGGCCTTGCAGCCGCTGTGCTTATATGGAGAGTTCAGTTGAGTTTCTGGCCAATGATAACTCCAAGGATGTGGAAAGTGGAGAAATTCAGTGATGCTAACATCACTGAAAGTCAAGGAGCAGTGGTTGGATTGTCTCTTACTGGAGATAGTCATTGCTTGACATTTGTGTGGCACAAATGTTTCTTGCCACTTGTCAGCCTTTATCATGTCTTTCCTTCCCTCATCGAAATCATTGTTGCAAATTGCAAAATCCTGAGGCTTCAGCACAGGCTCCTGAAGACCTCACTTCATCACATCCTATCAAGCAGACAAAGAACCATTCATGCATATCCTGTTTCCTGCCAGCCAGTTAATCTTCTATCCCTTCTAAAATGGTACTCCTTGCCCCCAATTCTCCAACACTATCATTTTAGAGATACTTAATTTTAGATAAATAACACTCCTAGTTCATCTCTATGGATTACTTAATTGATATTTCCAATTTTTGTTTCTTGACCGAGACAATTTTTCAATTTCTTTCAAAGCACATTGGCATGAGCCTTTCATAATCCTGATAACTTAAGCTCTCTCAGTTTTAACAAGATGAAGATTTCCATCCAATTCGCCTGACTTTGAAAATCCACAAACTATAACACTTTGGCTATAGTAATTTCCCTTGAACATGTTAAACTCTTCTGCAAGAAGAAACTGTTCTTGCTTCTGAAATGAACTCCTGACTTTTCTAAACAGAGACTTTGAACCTTCTGCTCTGAAATCAAACTAAAATTATAGCTTGCTGATCTCATGTGAGCTCAAAATAAGCATCAATCCATTCGCACTACAGGGGTTCTCCAAGGTTCATTACTGTCATCATAACCACTTGGGGTACTGCTCCTAGGGTCACTGACGTTGGTACTTTCTGGCCTTTTCTTTTCCAAAAAGTGACTCAATCCATTCACCTCTATTTTAAAGTCCAAATCCAAAAATATAACACACAAAACACTTCTCTTCACAACTTATTGATGAAGAGACGAGTTACATAATTTTCTAGTGGTATTTTACCTGAATTCTCTCCATTTGTGTACTGAAGGGATACAACAATTCAAACAGGATCAGGCCCAAAGAAAAGATGTCCACTTTGTGAGAGTAAGTATTTCCAGATATCTATGAAGTATAAAGAAGCTTTTACAATGTTATGCTTAACAATCTCCACTGAACTTGATAAATACTGGAGTTTGACATTACTCACCTGCTCAGGACTCATATAGAGCTTAGTACCCACTTGCCCTGTGTGTCTAGCGTACATTGGCATTGGTGTAAGTATGGACCCCTCTTCTTCCTCTTGGTCCATTTCAGTGACTAGCCCAAAGTCACCCACTTTCACCACATCATCCAAAGTAAAGAAAATATTTGAAGGCTTAAAAGGGGAAATAAAAAAGGAACCCTATTTCAAACAAGTGTGCACGAAGGCTAGTGATTATTAACAGAAACTATTGACAGAAATATAATCAGACTAAAAATGAGAATGTTAAGAACTTAAAACAGCCTTTTCCAAAAAATTCAGGATTTGTTTTTAAGCATTGATGGAACCACTGCATTTAATAGTGAACATAGAAACTAGGAGCGGGTGTAAGCCATTCGAACCTTCAAAACTCCTCCACCACTCAATATGATCATGGTAGATCCTCTATCTCAATGCCATATTCCTGCTTTCTCCCCAGATCTGTTGATGCCTTTAAAATATATAAACTTGTCATTCTTGTGTACATGTAGTAACTTGGCCTCCAATCTTGTGGGAAAAAATTCCATAGGTTGACTACCCTTTGCGTGAAGAAACCTTTTCTAATCTCAATCCTAAATGGTCTACCCAATGCCCTGAGACTGTGTTTCCTGGCTGTAGACTCCCCAACCAGGAAACATCCTCCCTGCATCTAACTTGTTAGAATTTTATATTTTTCAATTAGAATTAAAAAGGGAGAGAGCTGATCTAATTAATACAGGCATGTCAAACTAATCTCTCTCATAGGATAGTCCTGCCACCCCAGCATCAGCCTATTGGCCTCCACTGCACTCACTCTATGGCAAGTAAACCTTTTAGGTAGAGAAATCAAAACCACAAAGCTGTTTTTGTTTTGGGGTGAGGGAGGGAGTTCTAGGATTTTAATCCAGAGACACTGTGGGCTGCTTTCTCCTGGATGGTGTTAACCTCTGTTTATTGTTGGAGCTGGAGTCTTTCTGGCAAGTGAAGTGTACCTTTCACACTCTGAACTGGTGCCATGTAGATGGCAGACAGGTTTTGGGCAGTCTGAAGGAGAGTTGTTTGTTGCAGGATTCACAGTCTTTGGCCTTCCATTATAGCCACAGGATGTGTTTGTTCAGTCTAATTCGATTTCTTGAAAAGTATAACTCCCTAGACACTGATAGTTGGGGATTTAGCAATGGTGATACCATTGAATGTCACGGAGTGATGGTTAAATTCTCTCTTGTTGGAGATGATCATTGTCCAGCATTTGTGCGGTGCAAATGTTACGTGCCACTCATCAGCCCAAACCTGGATATTGTCCAAGCGTTGCTGTAGTTGGATATGGGCTACTTCTGTTTCTGAAGAGTCATGAATGGTGCTGGTGATTGAAGTATACAAGATGTGGAAAGGAGGTCTCTTCATGTCACCAAGCCCAGATCAAGGGGACACCATTTTAAAATTCGGAGTTGCCCTCTCAGAAGGTTGTGTATCTTTAAAACACAATGCTTCAGACCAGCCATGGTCTTACGGGATGGCACAACAGGCTTGAGGGGCTGAATGGCCTATTTCTGTTAATTGATACACTTGAATATTTGAAACATATGACTGACATAACAAGAAACAAGATGAGGGCTGAACAGAGTTCAAAACTGGAAGCTGCTGGTGTTTAAGATGGTTACTAATTAATCTAATGGTGGAAGTAAGGGGAAATCTCTTTAGGCGAGGACTGCTAGAAAGTAAAATTTGCTACCATATGCGATTACCCAAAGTAGTGAGCATGAGACCATTTAACAGACAGTTATAAAAATACAAGGCAAAAAGGGAGAGAAAAATATAAAGATACAGTTTGATTAAGAAGAATGGAGAAGCATTGAGAAGAACATTAATCTGTTACGACAGAATAACAAGATTCGGTGTGAAATACAATTCAATTTACAAGGTGATAGTGAAAGGTCAGCTCACTGGACTCCTCACAACATTCCATATTAAGATGGTGTGGCATTGTGACAGTTCACAATACAAGTAGCACTGAGAAAAGATACTGGGAAAGACAATAGTTGATGTGGAAGGTCAAGCTTCACAGGTCCTGATATAAACACCGCACGAGAATGTGACAACATCAATTGTGCAAGTACAATTCCAACAGTCAATTAACAAGCTAAACCAAGAGACTTAAAACGACGAAGTGTAGGAAACCAACAATTTCTAATTACAGCAGTAGTTACTCTTTGCACCTTCAACAATCACAAATATGAAGCACATAGTAGGTAGTGTTCAGCATGAAGGAGCACTAATTTATGAGCAAGAGAAGTTAGCAAGTGATAATCAGGTTTCCTTGCCCATGTTTAGCCTGATGCCACGAGACTTTGAGGTGTCGAGTCAATATTGGGAGCAGCTGTTATCAGGCAAGGCAACATTTGACACGTGGGGAACTGTTTAAAGACCTGCTGGGGAGAGTTCAAGACCAGCATGTTCCAGTAAGAAGGAAGGATAAAGATGGCAAGGTAAGGGACCCTTGGATAAGGAGGGAAGTTGTGAATTTAGTCAAAAGGGAAAAAGAAGGATATGTAACATTTAGGAAGCTAAGATTGGCCAGGGCCGTGAGGAATAAGGAAAACAGGAAAGTACTCGAGCAGGGAATCAGGAGAACAAGAATGGGCCATGAAGTGACCTGGGCAAGTAGGGTTAAAAAGAGAATCTCAAGGCATTCTATAGATACTTTTAAAGACAAGAGGATAACTAGGGATAAGGTAGGACCACTCAAAGATAAAGAAGGGAACTTGTGCTTGGAGGCAGAAAATTTGAGTGAGATCCTAAATGAGTGCTTTGCATCAGTATTCACCCAGGAGAAGGATATAGAAGATAGTGAGGTTTGTGTGGAGCATGCTAATATGCTAGGGCATTTTCAGATCAAGAAAGAAGTGGTGTTGGATCTCTTGAAGAGCATTAAGGTGGATAAGACCCCAGGGCCCGATGATATCTACCCCAGGTTATTGAGAGAGACAAGAGAGGAGATTGCTGGAGCCTTGACCAAGATCTTTGTATTCTCGCTAGCCATTGGAAGTGTCCCGGAAAACTGGCAAGTAGCTAATGTTGTTCCTCTGTTCAGGAAGGGATAATCCTGGAAACTACAGACCGGTGAGTCTCACATCAGTGGTTGGGAAGCAATTGGAAAGAATTCTTAGGAATAGGATTTACGCACATTTGGAAAAGCATGGCCTAATCAGGAAGTCAGTATGGTTTTGTGCAGGGCAGGTCACACCTTACGAACTTGATTGAATTTTTTGAAGTGGTGATGAAGGTGATCGATGAGGGTAGAGCAATGGATGTCGTACATTAGATTTTAGTAAGGCTTTTGACAAGGTCCCACATTAAGATGCATGGGATCCATGGTGACTTGGCCAGTGGATTCAGAATTGACTTGCCCATAGAAGACAGAGGATATTTGTGGAAGGGTATTTTTCAGGCTGGAAGTCCGTGACTAGTGGTGTTCTGCAGGGATCCATACGGGGAACTCCGCTTTTTGTGATATATATAAACGACTAAGATGAAAATGTAGGTGGGTGGGTTAGTAAGTTTGCAGACGATACAAAGATCGGTGGAGTTATGGATTGTGGAGAAGATTGTCAAAGGATACAGCGAGATATAGATCAGTCACAGATATGGGTGCAGGAACGGCAATGGAGTTTTATCAGCCAACTGCGAAGTGTTGCACTTTGAGACATCAAATTTTAAAGGGAAAGTATACAATTAATGGAGGACACTGAACAGCTACTTGCCAGTTTTCTGGGACACTTCCAATGGCCAGAAGGATCTTCGGGTTCAAGTCCATAGCTCCCTAAAAGTGGCCAGGCAAGTGGATAGGGTGGTAAAGAAAACGAATGGCATGCTTGCCTTTATTGGCCAGGGAATGGAGTACAGGAGTCGGGATGTCACGTTGCAGCTTTAAGGCTTTGGTTAGGCCACACTTACAGTATTGCGTTCAATTCTTGTTGCCACAATACAGGAAGGATGTGGAGGCTTTAGGGAGGGTGCAGAAGTTTACAGATGCTGCCTGGATTAGAGGGTATGAGCTATAATGAGAGGCTAGAAAAACTCAGGTTATTTTCTCTGGAGCAGCAGAGGCTGAGGGGAGACTTGATCAAAGTCTATAAAATTATGAGATGCATAGATAAGGTCGATGGTCAGAATCTTTCTCCCCCCCATCAAGAGTTGAAATGTCTAACACAAAGGGGGATGCATTTAAGGTTAGCGGAGGCAAGTGCAAAGGAGATGCTAAGGGCTTTTTTTGTTTTTTTCTGTTACACAGAGTGGTAGGAGTCTGGAACGCACTGCCAGGGGTGGTAGAGGCAGATACAATAAGGGCATTTAAGGGACTTTTAGATAAGCACACGAATATGCAAGGAATGGAGAGATATGGACCAAAGGCAGGCAGAAGGAATTAGTTTCACTTGGTGTCATGTTCAGCACAACAGTGCGGGCCAAAAGACCCGTTCCTATACTAGTGTATGGTCTATGGTCTGTCCGAGGGCCTCAAATGCATGTAGATATACCCTGGTTCATATAGGAGATGTCTTTGGTTTGTTTGGATAGAGTCAAACTCCAATGCTGGTTTGTTTCCTTGGTATGCTACTGTACAGAACCAAATTGCACTTGTGACTGTGTACGTACAAAAAGTTGTTTTTATGATTAAAGTATATTTCAAAATAAAAATCTCCAAAGAACCGCATACTAAAAATTAAAGTTGCTCATGCTGTAATCTGAATGAAATACGATACTTGAATCAAATCATTAAAAAAAAGTGTGAAATTCTACACCTTTCTCTATGCATTAAGGCAGCGTACTCTTCACCACCAGCAAGAGTGAAACATAGGACAGATGATGTGCAACCAAGATGGAGGTTGAAGAAAAAAAAACAGGTTAGGCAGTCATGTACTGCAGGGGAACTAGCAGTCATATGGAACACCGATGTAGCAAAATATAGCATAAGGGACTTTCAACCAGAGAGGGCCAGAGACAAATGGAACAAGTACAGTGCTCAAGTGAATTGCCTTGGTGTACTTTTCTATGTTAAAGATGCTGTATTAATATTCACTGACCAAAAATATGGTTAAATAAATAGCTGTAGAGTAAATTAGCTAATATTGTCACCAACCCCAGCCACCAAGTTACAATCAAAGGCAAATTCAACAGCTAAACTTAGGGACAGTTAAAACTGCTTCAGACAATGAAGAACATTGGCTCAGAGATAATACAGTGTGGAGCTGTGGAGCTGGGGAGCACAGGAGGCCAGGCAGCAGAGGAGCAAGAAAGTTGATGTTTCGGGTCGGGACCCTTCTTCAGAAACCTCAGGGATTTGGGTAACTCCCTTACTCCCCTTTGAATAATGCAACAGAACTTGTTATGCTGTCCTGAAAAGGCCGACAAGACACCTGTTAAATCTAAAATGGTACACCTGTAACAATGCTGGTGATGCTTTTTAGATGGAGAAAGAGATGCACTAGAGTGTAGAGCTGAAGAAAAGAACTGAGAATGCACTGCAACAATAATGAACTGGAGGGAGTAGAATGCAAGTTGGAACAGGGAGTTTGTGGTTGGCCCAGTATTCATAATCCAGCCCGCGTGGTCCTCAAAGTATTGTGACAGCCCTTTCCTGCAACTGGCACACACAATTCTTGCACAGTAAATTCACTATTGTTTTCAAGATGAAGCTAAGAGGACATGGGCTTTAGCTAGTAAAAGGACAAATTAGAACTGAAATGAAGACAAAACGATGGAATTGATATCGGAGGTATAGAGGCAAAAACCTGGGAAAGATTAAGATGCTGGGCACGATGAGAGAATGCTTCCAGGATGCATTAATTAAAATGCTCCAAAACATCATTCAGCTATCACCCCTGTGCTTACTAATTTACACCAGCTCTCAGTTAAATTACAACTGAGTTGTTAAATTTTCTTTATTTTTCCCCAAATCTCTCCGCGTCCAGGCCACCTCTCTATCACTGCAATCTCCTTCAGTCTGACAAATCCCATGTCTGTGCTGCTCTAATTTCAACCTCTTGAGCATTTCAGTTGCTCCACCACTGACAGTTAGAACTTTAAATGCCTAAGCCCAAAGATTTGGAATACCCTCCTTAAAACGCTTGAGCCTCTTTACTTCCGAGATGCCTTTTAAAACCTACTGCAGTGATCAACCCTTTGGTCACTGGTCCTAATATCTCATTCAGGTCAGTGCCATATTTTACGTCACTATACAGTTGTGAAGCACCAGAGACATTTTATTACTTTTAAAAGGTCCTACACAAACAGAAATTCTTGACGTATAGCTAAAATGATTCTTCAGAGATAACCCATGTTTCAATGGCTAAAAACTACAGTCTACTACCCCCTTTGTTTAATTCAAATGTATTCAAAATAGTTCCGATTAACTTTAAGTTTCTGGTGTCTACATGTGAAATCTTAACCAGTATACTCTAAATTGCACATTTAGATGTTGCAGCATTTCATGTGGTATCACCAAGTTCTTTCACATGCAAGGCAATTACAACATGCCCACCCTTTAAAGATTCTGAGACAAACATTGCGGCCTGTATTTAGTTTACAATACCTTAAGATCCCTGTGCATTAATCCTTTGGAGTGCAAGAAGCAGACAGCGTCAACCATCTGTAAAAATATCTTTAGACACTCAGTCCGGTCCCGGTCCTCCATCTGACATCGGCCATTCATCCAGTCTTTCAGAGTCTCTTTCCTGCAGAGTTGCATCTGAATGTACAAGTAAACTTTAGGCGAGTTTGGTTTTGCTTTCTCCCCGGAGTCTTTACACAGGCCCAGATTTAACGATGTGGGTCTTGGTGGAGAACGTGATAAAGTATCATTGGAAACCAGACCCCCAGTTCTACTTGATTTCTCTTCCCGAGAAATGGTGTTTTGTCTCCCATCACCGCTTCTACTGTGGCACGATGGCGCCAAGTCCAGTGTATGCTCAGATGCTTGGTCACAGCCAGAATCTTCAAACACCACGTCAAAGGATGCAGTCCTGTCCTCCTTCACAACACTGCCAGCAGCTGAAGGGAATAGTTCAAAGGAATGTGCCAGCTCAGAATTGCCTTCACTTTCATACTCAGACAGAAGACTATCTTGGCCACAATGGGGCTGTTCCAAAGATTGGCTGAAGTCTGTAGGGAGGTCCAAACACACACATGGCTCCAATGAAGAAGGTTGATTGGCAGTGATCACAGAGTAGGAACTGAACTTCAGTGAAGATGAACTACCTGAACAGTTTGCTGCAACAGGAAGCTCTGGACGGTTAACAGATGGAACATCTGGAGAACTCGCAGGCCAATCAGTGCTGGAAAAGTTAAGGCAAAAACAGAATGAAACGCAAAATTTTCATGTATGATAATTAAACAAGATCAGAAATTTAAAGAGGAATAATGTTTCTGGTGTAGACATGGATACATAGGAACTAAGTGAAATTAAAATTAAATTTACTTAAAATTAAGTAAAATTAAAATATGACCGGAGAAAAGGCTTTTGCAGACCATATGTCTATACAAGCACAAGATTACATATTTAAAAATAGCCTGTTCTTGGATACAGGTTTTGCAGATTAGGCTAAAATACCAACGATTCCCATCGATAGCAGAAATAGGTTGAAGGGAGGATGCAACATTTGGTATAGATTACTTTGGACCTCAGATACACGTATAGATTTACAGTCTAAATGGCAAGTACTACGTAACGTGTACAAAGAAATTTAGACGATCCAGGTAAACAAGCTTATTTAAACAGTTACTTATAGTTGCAGAAGGAAAAAGCCAATGGGATGCTGGAATACAAAAGCTACCAAACCAGTGCTACTGTAGTTATAAATAGCATTAAGACAACATGTGACACAGTATACTAAGTTCTGAATATGTCTACCCAAGAAAAATACACTGGAGGAAGTTCAATAACCGTTCATAAGTGATACCTCCAATGAAGGAAGGAACTATGAAAAGGCACCAGATAAACAGGAGTCAAGTTCAGATCAGATAGGGAATGGCTCTTCCTGGAAGGAGAACTCAATAAAGGGGTACAGTCTTAGGACGAGCTAAAGCAATTAAAAATAAATTAAAGATATTCTTCCCACAGCAAGAACATAGGAACAGCAGTAGGCCATTCAGCCCCTCGAGCTTCCTCCGCCATTCAAGAAGATCATGGCTGATCTGTGACCTAACTTCATACTCCTGCCTTTGGCCCATATCCCTCGATACCCTTGCTTAATAGAAGTTCATCTACGTCAGATTTAACAACTGAATTAGCCTCAATTTGTGTCTGAGGAACAGAGTTCCAAACCTCCATTACTCTTTGCGTATAAAAAGTGCTTTCTAACATCTCTTGAGTGGCCTGGCGCTAATTCTTAGACTAGGCTCCTTCATTCTAGAATCTTCAACTAGTGGAAATAGTTTACTGTTATCTACCATCTTTTCATGTAAATATCCTGAAGATCTCAATTAGATTGCCCTTAATCTTCTAAATTCTAGAGAATAATTTGTGCAATTTCTCCCAATAACTTAGCCCCTGAAGGTCAGGTGTCATCTTGTAAACATCATCGAATTCCCCCCAGGGCTAAACTTTCCTTCCTAAGGTGTGGCGACACTTGATCTGCTCAGATTATGATGAAACAGAGGGTGTGAAACACTTTCAGTGCTACAGATAAAGTGCTAAAAATAAACAGATATTTACTTGGGAAGTCAGAATGCAGAAAAGAAATGTAAACAAACAAGAAACCAAGGAGCATATTAAATGCTGTCCATCTGTTGTCATGAATGGAGTTACAACCAGGGTAATGGATTGGCGCAAGTCATGCAACAAGTGACAGTCAATTCAGAAGTGCATATTCTGCTGCACTTGCCAACCACTAGCATTGAAGCCCAGGTTAGATTTGGCCCATTGCTTTACCCTTCATCTTTCAGCAGCTGCTTGTCCATCTCCTCCTGCCAGCCTTCAGGTGGCGTCTCCAGCCAGGCATTGAAATAGCGGACAATGCCCGGATGCTCCAGCTTAGCCAGTGCCTTCACCTCCCGCATCACCTTCTCCCGTGCTTGGTCTCTGTGGAATTATGAAGTTAATAAGACTCAAATTAGGAGGTATCGTTGACAGCACAGAAGGTTACCAAAAATTGGAGGGAATCTTGATTAGATGGGGAAGTGGGCGGAGGACTGGCAAATGCAATTCAATAAAGATAAGTGTGAGGTGTTGCACTTTGGAAAGTTCAAACAAGGTAGGACTTGTACAGTAAATGGTAAGGTCCTGAGGAGTGTTGTGGAAGAGAGGGACCTAGGAGTACAAGTATATAGTTCGTTGAAAGTGGCATCACAGGTAGACAGGGTGGTGAAGAAGGCATTTAGCATGCTGTCCTTCATCGGTCGAGGCACTGACTAAAGGAGTTGGGACGTTACGTTACAGTTGTATAAGTCATTGGTAAGGCTGCACTTGGAGTATTGTGTACAATTTTGGTCACCCTGTTATAGGAAAGACGTAGCTAAATTGGAAAGTGTGCAAAGAAGATTTACGAGCATGTTGCCAGGATTAGTAGGCCCGAGTTATAGGGAGAGGTTGTCCAGGATAGGACTTTATTCCTTGGAACATAGGAGAATGAGGGGTGACCTTACTGAGGTGTATAAAATCATGAGGGGCATAGATAGGATGAATGCATATAGTCTTTTTCCCAGGGCTGGGGAATTGAAAGCTAGAGGGTATAGGTTTAGGTGAGATTGAAAAGATTTATGAAGGACCTGAGGGGCAGCTTCTTCACTCAGAGTGGTGCATATATGGAATGAGCTGCCAGAGAAAGTGGATGAGCCAGGTACAATAGCAACTTTTAAAAAGCATTTGGCTAGGTACATGGATGAGAAGGGCTTAAGAGGGATATGGACCAAACACGGATAATCGGAACTAGCTGGGTGGGCACCATGGACCAGTTTAGGCCCAAGGGCCTGTTTCCATGCTGTATTACTCTATGACTCTAATAGAGAAGCAAAGAAAACAATTTCAATGTCTCATTTGGGTATCAAATTGCAGGACTGTTAAAGCTGGAGACTGATCATACAGCAACATAGAGCTCAGGACAATCTGCTTACTGAAATATAATTTGTTCTCAGGATGTGGGCACCACTGGCAAGATTGGCATTCATTGTCCATCCATACTAGACGAATTGTAAAATACCTTGGAACTGAAAGTTAATCAAATTGATGTAAAATTTGAATTGTGTTAGGGCAGACTGGATAAGAAAGGAAAAGGACATCAGTGAACCAGGCTTTCTTTTGTCAGAGAATGGCTCACTTTTTGGGACCACTACCAGCAAGGGGAGGTGTTGTAAATGTGATAGTATCAGAGTCATCTTGGAACCTTTTTAAATTGCCAATATGTGCAAGGCCAATTCCAACTCAAGTCTGTTGAAGAAGGTTGTCAGAGACATGGAAAAAGGTTTTGGCAACGAACCTTCACAAACATTAGCATACCGATTCGGGAGTCGAATCCTCTTGATAGCATAATTACAATCATCAACTTTGTTTTTGGCCTCGAAAACAACACCAAATCCTCCGCGTCCAAGACATTGAACCAATTCAAAGTCAGTAAGGCATCTGAAAGAGGTTTATCTGCATTAATTACACTACTGGCATAGACTTTTCATAGCTATGTATTAAATGCCAAATGACTAGGTGAGTCCAAAACTGGATGGCATAGGTTTAAAGTGAGAGGGCAAAGATTTAAAGGGGACCCAAGGGGCAATTTTTTTCCCCCCACACAGAGTGGTGCGTGTGTGCAATGAGCTGCCAGAGAAGGGAAGTACAATTACGACATTTAAAAGGCATCTGGATGGGTACTTGAATAAGAAGGGTTTAGAAGGATATGGGCCAAATGCTGGCAGATGGGACTAGATCAATTTAGGATATCTGGTTGGCACAGATGGGTTGGGCCGAAGGGTCTATTTCCATGATGTACAACTCTGACTCTATATCTGGTGGGAGGATTCAATATTATAAATACGCAGAATTAAGCATTCTCAAAAAGAAATTAATTAAAAAATAAACTGGACCACAAAAACAGTAACAGGCCATTCACTTAATCAAGTCTAATAAGATCCTAAGAAATAGGAGTAGGTTATCGACCTATGAAGCCTGCTCCATTATTCAAAAGGTCATGGTTGACTTGACTATGACTTTAAACCCACTGTCTCACAATTAGGTCTTGGCATGTCTGTACCTCAATGGCATTTTCCCACCTTTCCTCACACTGGTTAAAAGAAAAAAAATCTGTTCATCTCAAGTCCCCAAAAAACTCTCCAACATCTAGCCTATCAGGTGAAGGCAGTTCCAAAATATCTTAGTGCACAGAAACGTTCTTGGCTTCACTTCCAAATGGTCTGATTATAAAAAAAAAGGTTTTGTCCCATAGTCCACCAGAGGAAAACAGATTTCCTGCATTTATTTTACAGGTTGTGAAGCACCAACATTATTTGAACACAAAATTTTTAAATCTCTATTTAAGAAAATTCTGTCAAGGCCCAAGGACAATTACTTCCTTTCTATCAACTTAGAGTTGAATGACCAATACATGAGAATGGTCCACTAAGTGCCACTCAGTTTGGGGTAATGGGAGATTATTAAAAAGTAAGCAGGATTGCAGCTAGTTTCTTGACTGATTGTTGATCTTTGTCATGTAATATGGGAAAAGTGCACAAAAGGATAGGATTGCATGGCCAAACACCTACAGAAGACAGATAATCAAATGATAGCTCTCAATAGATGTAAACAGCACATGAGAGCAACATATTCCTGCCAGCAGTAAGACACTACATCTTAGTTAGATAAGCAATATCAAATGGAAGTAGACATGTTATCCCAGGATACGTCTGCTACCTTGAAGTTATTAAGTGCACAGGCAGACTTGGCAGTTGTGAAAACAAGACAGCTGGTAAGTGCTGACTGGGTAAGGCAAAAGAGAAATGTTAAAACAGTGGAAAGAAGCAAAGCCCGAAAAGACAAACAGTTACACTTACAGAAAGCCACAGATATGACATCACTAATCACACTAGAGGGAGTGTGCAAACTATAGGCCAGTTAATCTGGCATTGGGAAGATGCTAGAAACCAAGAGTCACAGTCTTAAAGGGGATAAGCCATTTTGCACTGAGATGAGAAGTTTTTTCATCAAGAGTCCGAGGCTGTGGAATTCACAGAAAATATCCGAGGCCAAAACATTAAATATTTTCAAGGAGTCAAGATATTGTTCACAAGAACAAAGGGATTAAAAGGTATGGGGCAAAAGCAGGAACAGAGAACTGAGTAGGGTGATCGACCATAAATCAAATTGAATGATTGAGTAGGCTCAGAAGGGCCAAATAGCCTACTCCTGTTCCTATTTTCCAAGTTTCTAAACATTTAGAAAATCATAATGTAAACATGCTTTTAAAATTCATTCATGGTATATGGACATCACTGGCTTGGTCAGAAATCGCCTGTCTCTACTTGTCCTCAAGATGATGGTACTGCGTCCTTGAACTGCTGCAGACTTGGAATGTCAGTACATCTGCTGTGCTATTCAGAAGGCAATTCCAGCATTTCGACCCAGCGACAGTGAAGGAACAGCTCCAGGAGAGTGAAATGATGCTTGACAAATTGATTACAGTTCTTTGAGGATAAAACAGACAGATTAGATAAAGGGAACACCTGCAGATGTAGTGAATTTGGATTTGATTTGTGGTAAACTAGGACTGCTAAGGGATAAATGTAGAAGACGCAGAAAAAGGCAAAAAACTTGAAAGAGTACCAATTTTGAGAGCCAACAAACCAACATGACATGGATAACACATGGATATCACAGACACAAGACAAGGTGCCACCTAAAAGGTTACCACACAAGATGAGCTCATGTGTTGGAAGGTAAGCCAACCTTACATCCAAGCTAAAGAAAACCAGGTCAATAAAAATGGATCACTCTCAGGTTGGAAAACTGTAGCTAATAAAATGGTTATAGTGTTTAGTGTTGGGCCAACGAACATGATTTGGATGAACTGACTGACTATATTGTAGATAAGTTTACTGATAACGCAAGAATAATAGAAAAGCAAATTAGGAGGATATAAAGAATCTAAAAATGCACTTAGATAGGTTGAGTGTGTGGACAACAATGTGGCAGATGTGCAAGTATAATGTGGGAAGTGAGGTTGACCAAAATTGCAAGAATAGAAAAGCAGTATGTTACTTTAAGAGAAAGAGAGACTGCAGAACTCTGCAGTTCAGTGAGATTTGGGGGTCCTTGTACATGAATTACAAAATTCAGTACACAGGTACAGCAACTAGTTAAGGGAAATTTATATTGACATTTATTGCAAAGGCAATGAAGGATGAACACAGGACAGTCTTGCTACAACTGTACATAGCATTGATGAGATTGCACTTGAACTTCATACTGCTTTGGTCACCTGAAGGACATTGGAAACTGTTTACAAAATGGTTCACTCAACTGATTCTAGAGATGATGAAGGTGTTATCTTTTGAGGAAGAGGTTCATCATAGATAATAGGAACTGCAGATGCTGGAGAATCTGAGATAACAAGGTGTAGAGCTGGATGAACACAGCAGGCCAAGCAGCATCATAGGAGCAGGCCTGCTGTGTTCATCCAGCTCTACACCTGGTGATAATCAGAGGTTCATCATGTTGGGCTTATACTGTGAGTTGATCTCATTGACACATTTGATTCTGCAGAGGCTTGACAGGATAGATGCTGTACAAATTGATCCTAATTGGGGAAAAACAACAACTGGCTAAGGCCCGGAACTTTTCATTGTTGTGCAAGCAGTGCATCTAAGAGGTAATTTCATTAACACTTCAACTTTAGGGATAAGTGAAGGTCAAACATACTTGATTCAAAAGATGGCACCTGTGACTGTTGGGTTCTGTCAGTATTGCACTGAGGACAGCCTTCTTTGTGTCTTATAATTGTTTCCTGTCCACATCTAATTTAAATGTGTTGAGGCAATGGCCAGAAGCAGATCCAAGTTAATATTCCATTATCAAAATTCAATATGCAGGCATGCTAATTTGGAAGTCTAATTCATGTTGGCTACACCATAGGAGCTGAACAACTTGGCCTATGCTTGCTTGGGAAGCATTCATCACAATATACCTCCAGGCACACATACCACCAATGCACAATAAAGTTTAATACTGTTTGTTTTTACCTGGACACGTAGTCAGCAGTCCCACAGCAATTTATCAAGTCAACCTTAACTTCTCCCACAGGCACCTCACTTGTGCTGTCAGTCCGACATGGAAACTCCAATTTCTCCTTTTTCTGCACAGAACAGACACCAGTAACAGGCTTAGCCAATCTTCATCCCATCGAGCAGGAGCTAGGAAGTGATAGCATTCATCTACTGGGATAACTTGCAGCTTCCAGAAAGATTACCGACAGGTCATAGGATAGCAAAGCTGATAAACTGGAGATATAATCTGGTGTTGAGAAAGTTTTTTTTATTGAAACATAGGATTCTGAGGAGCTTGTCAGGGCAGATGTTAAAAAGATATTTCTTCTCATTGGGGAATGCAGAACTATGGCAGTCAGCATAGCAATAATTTAAGATAGAGATGAGGAAGAATTTCTTCTGAAGGTTAATAGCCAGTGGAATGCTTTTCCTCACTGAGCAATGGAAGCTGGGAAAATGAATAAATGAAGGACTGATTCGGAAAGATTTTGTTAGGCAGGGGAATCCAGGATTATGGGGTGCAGAAGGGGAGGCCAAAATCTTACTGAACTTATTGCACGAATCTTACATACTTCCAGAAGGCATTTTATAAGGTGCCACACAAAAAGGTTAAAACAGAGATGAGGAGAAATTACTTCTTTCAAAGGGTCATGATTCTGTAAAGTGGCTATTGGGACAGACGTGTAAATTTTAGGAAGAGATAGACAGATTTTTATTTAGTAATAGGTTGAAGAGTTATTGAGAGTGGGCAGGAAATTGAAATCAAGGACAAGATTAAATCAGCTGTGATTGTATCAAGTAGCTGAGGAGGATCAAAAGGACTGAATTGCCTGCTCCTAGCTCATAATTCTTATAGTTCAGTGATGATCAGGAATGATCTGACTGAATGGCAGACTTGATAAGCTAAACAGCCCACTCCTTCAAATTGTCACCATCTTAATGTTAGGTAATTCCACAGTTTAGCACTTCTGAGGCTGAAGGCATGACCACCAGCAGTGGAACTCAGCATCAAAGCTGAGATATCCAAAGGCTGCAGAGCTGAGCGTGTTCCAGCAAGAAAGGGGGACATGGTCAGGTTTGGCAGGTAGCGGGAAAAGTAACGTAGAGGACTGGATCAGATGAAATCAGAAGATGAGCTGCAAAGCACCCACAACCACCAAGAACAAAGACAGATAAAGGCCGACCCCTTGAGTTTTTGGGCCCCACACAATCATTGAAATTATTTGCAAAGACGCCTCTAAGAATAGAACCACTCAAATCATCAGCCTCCAAACGAAATAAGTTAACTGAGAGGTTTACAGAAAATATTCCAAAAGCAAGGACTGAACATTGACACAAAGCTTAATTACCGTAAAATAATATCAACAGCAAGAATATGTTTACTAAAAGGTGGATTCAGATGGAAACATTACATTCCAGAATAGAATATAAATGTGCACATTCATCCAGAGTTGACAAGTATAGCAATTAAGTTACTTTACAGATAGACTTGTAGCACATACCATGACTGAAGCTGGATATCGGACAAGCTTATGAACCACATAAGTAGTTGCAATAATGCAGACAAGGATGGTGAAAGCAATTTCCCTCCACCATTCCAGCAGGAGAATGGGGTCCTTCCTTGTGATTTCCTTCTTTTTCCTAGTCGAGTCGAAGAATTTGATGGAAACCTGGGTGCCACGCTTGTTTCTCTCACGCACATAGTAAGGCAAATGAAAACCATTATCTGTCAAAACAAACATAGAAAGGAGTCACACATTCAAGTTCACCTCAACCTTTGAAGACCCATGTTCTTATTCACTTTAATTCTCATTCACCCACCATCACAGTTTCACAGATCTGTGCTGACCCCTGGGCTGACATGAATTCTATCAATCATTCTCAAATTCAACGTGGTCTCACCTGCCCTCTTCTTTCACCACCTCTAGTCCCACAACTCTCCAAGGTTTCTCAATCAATTCTGACCTTTTTGGTGTGCATCCCCGATTGCTTATTGCATTGTCTTTGGTGGCCATACTGTCTAGGCCCTCAACTCTGGAATGCCTTCTGAACCTCTACTTTCCTTTAAGATATATCTTAAAGGTTGTATCTTAGGCTAAGGCTTCACGCACACATCCTAACCTCTTACATGGCTCAGTATCACATTTCATTTGACAGCATTTTGTACAGCACTCCCAGACGTGTACTGCTTTTAAATGATATAAATAAATCCTACTGCCATTATTAGTTGTAGAACTGCAGAGTTTTAGTGGACAGAAACAATGCAACCTGCAGTGCCTGTGCCAATTCTACAACATTTCAGCCAAAAAGCCAATGGCACTTCCCTTCTTCCAATTTTTTTTTTCCACATGATCCAGGTAAGTAGAGGTATATGGGCAGCTCAGTGGTTAGCACTGCTGCCTCACAGCACCAGGGACCGAGTTTGATTCCAGCTTTGGGTGACCATCTGTATAGAGTTTGCACATTCTCCCCATGTCTGCGTGGGTACTCCGGTTTCTTCACACAGTCCAAAGATGTGCAGGTTAGGTGGAGATTGTGTAAACTGCTACTATGCTCACCCACACACTTCACCATGACTATTACTTTAAAGGAACGCAGCAAGAATTGTGTCTTGCTTTCTAGTACTTCTATCTTGTCTCCAAACGCCCTCTGCTGTTCCACACTGGCAATAATGGGGATTTAACTATCTTCATTCATTCACATCATTAACTATCTTCATTCATGGATGCTTATGGAAAAACTGGCATTTATTCCCTAGGTCAAGTGCTGAGGAGTCTGGGCCTGCGTGTACCACCAATTTGATACACCTGACTGGTTTATTAGGCTACTCCACAAGTTAGTTAAGAATCAATGGAGGTTGAGCTTTGGAACTCCTAACCACGGAGCGCTGCGGGGCAGATTCTTTCAAGGCTGAGATAGATAGATTCTTGATCAGTAGAGAAGACGAGAGTTCCAAGGAAAACATAGAAAAAAAGTGGCTGACAGAAATGTTGGATCAGCCATGACCTTATTGAATGGTGCAGCAGGTTCATGGGCTGGATGACCTACTCCTGATCCCATTTATGATCTTTGGGTATTGAGTGTGGGAGTTGAGTTACACACAGCTCAGGCTCATTAAGGACAGTAAAACTTAGCCAAACTCACGTGTGCCAATCTGACAGCTGTCAAGAGTTTAACTTTTACTGTCAGGAGTTTAACTTCAGATACTGGTCTTTTAAAACACCATTTCGCTTGTATGCCTTAAAACCAATGCAAGTTGTCAAGTTTTTATTTGTGGAATGTGCTCACCCTTTCTCGGAATTTAGTCAATGGAAGATAACCATGGCACTGCCATTACCAATGACAGTACCTACAGGGTACAAACAGGACTGGAAAATTTGAAGAATCACAACAAAGATTCAAACTCCAGCAGGAAAGGTTAAAGAAGTTCACAGTCTAGGCCCATGTGAGGATCAGTTTCTTAAGCAAATGTTACCAGAATGTATACAACTGTACTCCAGCACGTCAGTACGGAAAGAGTTTGGGACACGGCAACAAAGGTGAGAACAACTAATCATATAATAACTTTAAAATACTCCACTCTAGGCATAAGAACGTATGGTGGCAATATAGGGTCTTAACCATACCAAACTAGACAAACACAAATGATTCCATGGAACCGTCCATAACGTAACAACATCTTGTTTAATTCTGAGAATACAGAACATATTAGACACCAGGACCTAAACTAAGCCTATTTGTCACCATGTTTTAAAAGCAAGAATAGCACAACACATTAAAACAGAAAATATAAAAAGAAGAGATACTGACAAAACAGAAGTCTAGAATTAATAATTTAGTTACGAATGTACTGTGTTAACTGTAGTGTACTCTTCACCAGAAGAAGACACTCAGCTGGGATAACTCACCGTATGGATACTGTAAAATCGACAGAGCTCCATTACTATATTCATCATGAGAATGTCTATCATTGCTGAGACATTTATCATGCTCATCTGACCGAATCAATGCTGGTGTTCTAGTTGGCGAATCTTCAAAAACAAAAATAAGCAAACTTTAGATGACAAGTTGTAGACAGTATTCTCATGTCCTTCATCTACCATGGTTCAGTTAGGTAGCACATTCACCTCTCTAATCAGAAGCTTGTGGATTCAAGCCCACTGCAGTAACTTTGTAGATCAACTAGACCAACACCTCAGTGGACCACTGGTAGAGCACAGCATTGTTGAAGGGAACATTTTTCGGGATCCCATCTGCTCGGTCAGGTCAATATATACAGCACTATTTGGTAAGTAGGCCAGTGCTCTCTCCCTAACATCTCTCTCTCAACTACCCTATGTAAAAGATAATTATTCATTTATGCCACTGCTCTTTGTGGGACTTGGATGCTGCTCTTCAGACCATCAGTCACTGCCAAAGCTGACAAAAGCTCACATTCACAGTAAGCATAAAGAACTGCCAGTGCTAGAAATCTCAAACAAAAATACAGAGTGCAGCAGAAACAATGGTCTGGCAACATCTGTAGAGAGAAAACAGTTACCATTTCTGATGAAAGGTCACTGGACTTGGAACATTACTGTTTTTTCCGTACAGATGCTGCCAGATCTGCTATGTTTCACCAACACTCTGGAGAAAAATACAATTAATGTGAGACAAAAACAAAGACGGATCAGAACAAAATGACTCAACACTGCCACCTGGCGGACAATATGGTAAAAGTTTTATTTAAGTTAAGATGTTGAGAAATTTTGCCCAAAGGGTTGTGAATATTTGGGATTTGTTACCCCAGAGGTTTGTGCACGCTCCACTGCTGTATTTAGACTGAGACGAATAGACCTCTAGGTCTCTCACAGTATCGAGAGATATGAGCAGTGGGCAGGAAAGTGGACGTGAAGCAGGAGGTCAACCATAGTCATAATGAATGGTGAGGTTGGCTCAACAGCAGTGCCACGGTCCTCCAAAATAGAAATAGCTGTAGCTCAGGAAATGGAAGGGAGGAATTCAGCAGAATTGCAATCACCACAGAAGTGGTACAAGTAAATTATTGGAGTTAAGGGCTGAGAAATCACCAAGTGCTGACAGACCTCAACCCAAGGTCTGAAAAGAAGTGGCTAGTGAGATAGTTCATGCATTGTTCCAAAATTCCCTAGATTTTGGGAAAGTACATCAAAAACAAAGAAGGACGCAGGAAGCAGAGACCGACAGGCCAATTTGCTCCATCTGTCATGGTGCAGATGTTACAAGTTATTAAAGAAATAATTGCAGGGCATTTAAATAAATTCAAGATAATAGGCAGGGTCAACATGGTTTGTGAAAGGGAAGATATGTTTAACCAACTTTATTAAAATTCTTTGAAGAACTAAAATGTGCTGTGGATAACCAGGAACTACATAGACTTCCAGAAGGCGTTTGATAAGGGCCTTCATCATGGAGAATAAAAGCTCATGGTGTAAGGGATAACACATTAAAATGGATAGTAGGTTGCCTAGTTAACAAACAGAGGGTAGACAAAAAAGTCATTTTCTGGTTGTCAAGCTGTACAAACTATGTGCCACAGGGATCAGTGTTGTGGCCTTAATGCTTTACAATTTAAATCAATGACTTGGACGAGGGGATGGAGGGATTATAGTAGCTAATGACACAAAGATGGATATGAAAGTAAGTTGTGAAGAGGACACAATGAGGTAGTTATGGAAGCATAGGGGAGGCAATGGCCTAATGGTATTATCGCTGGACCGTTAATCCACACACTCTGGTAATGTGGGGACCTGGGTTCGAATCCCACCATGGCAGATGGTGGAATCGGAATCCAATAAATATCCGGAATTAAGAGTCTAATGATGACTGTGAATCCATTGCCGATTGTCGGGAAAAACCCATCTGATTCACTAATACCCTTTAGGGAAGAAAACTGCCATCATTACCTTATGTGACTCCAGACCCACAGCAATGTGGTAGACGTTGAACTGCCCTCTGGGCAATTATTGCTGGCCTAGACAGCGACACTCTCATCCCGTTAATGGAGGAAAATGTGAAATTGTTCATTTGGGTATTAAGAATTTTAAAAAAGCGTATAATCTAAATGGTGAGAAATTATCGAGCCCCAAGATACAGAGCATTCTGGATATCCTCGTGCATGAATTGCAAAAGGTTAGTATGCAGATACAGCAAGTAATTGGAAAGCTACGATCATACTGCTCCTATTTTTATAGGGTCCTTGTTTTCTAATTCTGATTCAAGTGAAAATTTCAAATTGATTTTGACTATTTTTGACTGTGTAATATCATAGAAGATCAATTCTGAGTTTTCGATTTTCCAATCAGGCTCCCACCTGTAGACAATCTTCAGAAAAGCTCAGCAGGTCTGGCAGCATCTGTGGGAAAAATCAGAGTTAACATTTTGGGTTCAGTGACCCTTCTTCAGAACTGGGTCATTGGACCCGAGACATCAACTCTGATTTCTCTCCACAGCTTGCTTTCAGCGGCAGGAGTTGGTGAGGATGCAAGCCAGGGTGCCAATGGGAAGGTAAGGTTTTTTTTCCCTATAAAAACTTACCTCGTGTAGCAGTGGCCTTCTTGCTTTCAGCGGCGGGAGTTGGTGAGGACGCGAGCCAGGAAGTGAACTAATATATTCGGGGATTGGCTAAATCCGAAACACTACACGCGTAGTGTCTCCCACCCATCCTCCTCCTCTAACCAAAAAAAAAAGCTGTGTGGAGGGTCGCTAAGGCTTTTTTTTTTTTTTTTTTTTAAGAAGTCTTCTGGAAATCTAGAGTAAAGGGAATGGAAGCTAGGGCAGTTGCATGCTCCTCTTGCAGGATGTGGGAGGTAAGGGTTACTGCTGGTGTCCCCTCTGACTTCACCTGCGAGAAGTGCACACAACTCCAGCTCCTCAAAAACCACGTTAGGGAACTGGAACTGGAGCTGGATGAACTCCGGATCATTCAGGAGGCTGAGGGGGTGATAGAGAGGAGTTACAGGGAGGTGGTCACACCCAAGGTATAGGAAAAAGGTAGCTGGGTGACTGTCAGGAATGGGAAAGGGAATAGGCAGATAGTGCAGGGATCCCCTGTAGCCGTTCCCCTCAATAATAAGTATACCGTTTTGGATACTGTTGGGGGGGGGTGGGGACGGCCTACCAGGAGAAGGCCACAACGGACTGATCTCTGGCACTGAGGCTGGCCCTATGACACAGAAGGGAAGGGGGGAGAATAGGAGAGCAATTGTAGTGGGGGATTCAATAGCAAGAGGCACAGACAGGCAGTTCTGTGGACGCGAACGAGCTGAACAGATGGTATGCTGCCTCCCGGGTGCCAGGGTCCGTGACATCTCGGATCGCATTGCCGGAATGGGTAGTGGAGTTGGCCTCATTAGGGGCATTTAAGCGGCTATTAGATAGGCATATGAACGATAGTATAAGGTAGGGGTGGAGGTTAGATAGACCTTAGGTTTAGGGTAAAAGTTCAGCACAACATCGTGGGCCAAAGGGCCTGTACTGTGCTGTCCTGTTCTATGTTCTAGATACTGCCAGGGCTGTTAAGCTTTTCCAGAAATTTCTGATTTCCACCATCCTCAGTTCTTTCAGTTTTTTTTCCAGAATCTTCTTTGTTCCAAGGAGATCAACTCTTATTATTCTCAATTTCAGACGAAGACAGGCTCAATGTACTTAGCTTCTCATCATTGGTTAACCACCTCACCCCAGGAACTAATCTAGTGAATTTCTACTGTAGGAGCAGAGACAAAAAGGGGAATCCTTGCGTCAGAAGATGGGATTGGTCATTTGGGCAGACACAGAGTTGCAGTTCAAATACTTAGTGTGCAACGTGGGGGCTAAGGTTAAAGAAAACGACGGGGAGTGAAGCACAAGACAGAGAGTCAACCAGTAGGACCCTTGAGTGATTTCCAGCAGTTGGGATATAGAATGAGACAGCTATCATCAGCAGAGAAGGGGTAATGTACTGAGAGGAACTCAAGCCAAGACGAAAGATAAGACAGGAACAGGTCTTAAATTCTGCAGGAGGACAGGCATGGTAGCACGGAGGATGCAGCTAGAGAACAATGGAGAATTTGGGCCTGCTTAAGGGGAGTGATTTAAGTTTAATTCACTCACGACTGTTTATTGTGGGAGAGAGGAGAGTAAAAGGGGGCTTGCATTGTAAGTTTTGCACAGGTAGTCATCTTGCTGCTTTATTTCAAACAAACAAATAAGACTGGCGAGAGGCATAGTGCACCCCATAAAAATCAAAATGTTTCCTTCATAAATGTCAGTCTTGCAAAATAATCTAACTTAAATGGAAAAGCAGAATTAGCAGTACTAGCAATGCTGGAAATCTGAAATAAAACAGAAAAGGATGGAAATACACTACAGGTCCAGCAGCATCTGTTTGAATTAAAACACAGCACAGAATACAGTGATGGGTATTAAATTATTTGAATCAGGAATTCACAAAAATCTCTTCAGTGGTCGTAACATGGCATTTACTATTTCAGGGAATATTAGAAGTGAGAAACCTTCAAGGGAAAGCTAAATCAGTATAGGAGGGAGAAAGAAATGGACCTGAGAGAGAGTGGGTGACATAAAATACCAGTAGAGACCAGTTAGGCTAAATGATTGGTTTCTGTGCTCTAACTCCCTGCATATATAATACTGAAGCAGTAAAGTGCATTGCACTTCTAAATTCATTTTACCTATTATACTTACCTTTGTCAGAAAAGATAAGACAAATGGAAGTCAAATAACTGAAATCTTAAAGAGATGATGGTGACACTGTTATACCGTTGGACTAGCAATTCATAAGCCCACATTAATGTTCTGGGGACATGAGTCTGAATCCCACCATGGCAGATGGGAAAAATTTGAATCAATGAACATCAGGAATAAAAAGTTCATTTAAATGATGACGGTATAACCAATGTCGATTGTTGTAAAAACCCATCTGGCTCACTAACATCTTTTAGGGAAGGAAATCTGTCATCCTTAAATGGGACTCCAAACCCACAGTAATATGACTGACTCGATCTCCCTGGACAATTAGAAACGGGCAACAAACATTGGCCTAGCCAGTTCTGGTCACAGCCCATGAACAAATAAAACGAAGTACTGTGGTAACTTACGGATTAGAGGCTTCCACCTGACATCAGGCAAAGACGCAACTTTGTTGTCTCCATATTCCTCAAGGGTGGGCATCAATGGGAATTTCTCACACAACCTAACAGATGACTGCATGTACAGTTGTCCCTTGTACATGCCTGGAATAAGAAAGCGAACAAACGCAGTGTTTAGTCATTTTAGGAATCTACAGGAGTTCAGTCGGCTAGAAAATTAACCTTGTAATTTACTTTGAAACTGAACTTATGTCACCTTAAGAAATATTTGCTATATAAAATGAAAACAGATTAAAAGCAGAAAATAACAGAAGTTTGTACGTCAGTTACACATAAAGTGGAGTGATAATGTAGTATGGGTTTGGCTCATTATTAGCACCAACAAGGAACAGGGACATGGGGAGCTTACCAATCAACTCTGACCTGAGATTGAGAGAGTGAAAAGAATCAAGTTCCTCTGAGTGACGATAACCGTCAACCTGTCCTGGACTTCCCACATAAACGCGACAGTCAAAAAGGCACAACAATATCTCTTCTTCCTCAGGCAGCTCAGGAAATTTGGCATCTCCATAAAAGGACCCTCACCAACTTCCACAGATGCACCATCGAAAGCATTCTGTCCGGGTGCATAACGGCCTGGTATGGCAACTGCTACTAGGACCATAAGAAACTACAGAAGGTGGTGTACATAGCCCAGACCATCACAGAAGCCAACCTTCCATCCATGGACTCTATTTATATGGCTCGCTGCTGTGGAAAGGCTGCCAACATCATCAAAGACCCACTGCACCCTGGTAATGATCTCCTACAACCTCTTCCGTCAGGCAGAGGACACAGAAGCCTGAACACAAGCACCAGCGAGTTCAGGAACAGCTTCTTTCCGGCCATTATCAGACTATTGAATGGACTCTAGCCTGAAATCATGTAACCTGTAAGTCTTTTTGATCTGTCCATCCTTTGCTTGCTGTGATCTGCCTGTACCGCTCGTAAACAAAGTTTTTCACTGTATTTCAGTACACATGACAATAAATCAATCTCATTACTCCATTCAAATGCATGAGCATAATAACCCCTAAAGATCAGCAAAGACACTTGTGTGGGGAACTACAGGAGATGGGGAAGATACAGAATGAGTATTTTGCATCAGTGTTTACAGTGGAGAGGGATATGGAAGATGCAGAACATGGGGAAAACGAATGGTGACATCTTGAAAAATGTGCCTATTACAAAGGAGGAGATGCTGAAAGGCTTAAAATGCATAAAGGTGAATAAATCCCCAGACCCTGATCAGGTGTACCCTAGAACTCTGTAGGAAGCTAGGGAAGTGATTGCTGGGCACCTTGCTGAGATATTTTTTCATCAATAGTCACAGGCAAGGTGCCTGGTCAGTGCATTGAGTATATGAATTGGGAGGTCACGTTACAGCGAGACTGGACATTGGTTAGGCCACTAGTGGAATACGGTGCGCAATTCTGGTCTCCCTGCTATAGGAAGGATGTTATGAAACTTGAAAGGGCTCAGAAAAGATTTAGAAAGATGTAACCAGGATTGGAGAGTTTGAGCTATAGGAAGGGGCTGAGGGAGCTAACCATCTTATCATGATTTATAAAATCATGAGGGGCATGGATATGGTAAATAGGCCAGGTCTTTTCCTTGGGGTGGGGGTGGGGAGGGAACCAAAACTAGAGGGCATAGGTTTAAGGTGAAAGGAGAAATATTTAAAAAGGTATCTAAGAGGCATCTTTTTCATGCAGAGGGTGGTGCGTGTAAGGAATGAGCTGCCAGAGGAAGTGGAGGAGGCTGGTACAATTACAACTGGATGAGTACATGAATTGGAAGGGTTTGGAGAGATACGGGCCACATGCTGGCAAATGGGACTAGATTTATTTAGGATATCTGGTCAGCATGGATGAGTTGGACTGAAGGGTCCGTTTCTGTACATCTGTGACTAAGTAACTCTCCATTGTCACCTGCATCCCTTGCATCCTTCCATTACCTCAAAAAGGGAATTATTTTATTTTATTATGCTATGTTTACAAATAATTGCTTGATACTACAATACCTAAACAGTGTGAAAGAGACAGAATGTCAAAACTTTTCATTTTGCACTCATCAGGACTAATCAATAAGAAATTAAACTTGCAAACAGATTACTAATTGAGTTATCACAAAAATACTTCATCTCATGCTACTACTTTGCAGTAAACACAACACTGCATTTTTTTCCTGAAGAAGGGTCCAGACCCGAAGCGTCGGCTTTCCTGCTCCTCTGCTGCTGCCTGGCCTGCTGTGTTCATCCAGCTCTACACCTTGTTATCTCAGATTCTCCAGCATCGGCAGTTCCTACTATCACTGCATTACTTGGCTTTGCTGGGTTCTTCATTTTTAGATAGTATTTCATTGACTTTTTGGAAGGGGTTCTGAGCAGTTTATATGTTGTGCATGAGTACAGGATAGTTTATAGGTGAAGATGGTCATGTTTTCCCATTTTAGTGCATCTACCCAGAAAAGTAAGTGTTGCCCAAAGCCCCAATCATTGCAGAACCAATCACCTAAAATGACTTAAAGAGGTGATAACAACAGTGGGTTCAAATCCCAAGACAGATGGTGAAATTTCAATACCTTAAGAAATCTGGAACTAAAAGCTAATCTAATGGCCATGTAACCATTGCTGATTGTCGGGAAAAAACCCCATTTGCTCTCCACATTCCCACACCTTATTAGCACTAACTCTAACCCTAGGCAAATCACAGTATATAGTAACAAAAACAAAGTTGCTGGAAAAGCCCAGCAGGTCTGGCAGCATCTGTGAAGGAAAAAACAGAGTTAACGTTTCGGGTCCGGTGACCCTTCCTCAGAACACTATTATAGTCTCTGGCTGGATGGCTGATTTACAATAAAGACTGATGTCATTAGTGTAGATTCAACTCCTGCACCAGCTGAAGTTACCATGGAAGATTCTCCTTCTCAATCTCTCCCCTCATCTGAGACACGGTGACCCTCAGGGTTAAACCACAACCAATCTCTAATGAGAGTGCAGCCATGGGTTTGGTTAAACTGTGGTGACTTTACTTTTACTTCACATTGTGTCTCTAATTTGGGTGTTAACTAACGTAGCATGCTTCTGCCATTTTGTGTTTTAATTTGTGTTCCTTCTACTTATCAAATACCCCGTTAGGGAAGAAAATCTGCCATCATTACCTGGTCTGGCCTACATGTTACTACAGATCCACAGCAATGTGATTGACCGTGAAACGGTCTAGCAATCCACTCAGTTAGGAATGGCCGTATCCCACCAAAGAATAATTCCATTGAAAATCTGCCTTGGTTTAGTAGCAGCACCCAAGATATATCCCATATCAAAGAACTGAGTACATCAAACAGAAAGAAATTTCAGTACAATAAGGGATTGCCGCACTGTCAGAGATAACATTGTTCAGATGAAATGCCAATTTCAAAAGATCTCATGACTATCTCACAAGCTGGAGGGGAAGCTCTCGTCAGCACCTGACTATTATATTTCCTTCTACCAGTCTCTCAAAAACAGATTTATTGGCAGAGTGTGGGAACACGCTGCAGGCAGCATTACCCAAGGGCATTTTATTCTGTGGATACTGGTTGAATGCAGTTTAAAAATAACAGGTCTTTTAAGACAAAGAACTTCTAAGTAGATCACCAGTCTATGTAATTCTCTTCTCCAGAATGCAATGGAGGATAGGTCACTGAATTTATCCAAGGTTGAGTCAGATAGATTTTTGTTATAATAGAGTCAAAAGTTTTGTGGGTACAGGCAGTAATGCAGAGTTGAGATCATCCATGACCTTACTGAATGGGTGGAGCTCACTAGAAATGCTAATCAACCATCTCCTGCTCCCAACTCTCTATGTTCATATCTAAATGAGCAAAGGAGCAGTTGCATTTTCTAACAGCTCTCCAAATGGATCTTTAGGTTTTTGGTAGTTTATCCAAGAGGCCCTTTCAGTTATTAAGCAGAGCCTCGATTCTTCCGTAATACCCAATGACCAATCAGAAACTCACTGAATGGAGAACTTGTTACAACCTTGCACTTTTGTGTTGAAGCATGACACAGCCTACACTGACGTGCCATATTCAGAGTGATGCCAAGGTTACTTCATTACTGTAACTTGGCTTCACTCCCTTACCGAGATAGACTCCAGACTCAGCTGACTCTGCCGCTCCTCTCGCAGCTTCCACCAGATCTTCCTCGTCTTCTATCTCACTGCTGCGGCTAGCAGAATAGCTGGCATCATCAAAGAGGCTGACCGGGATCACTTCTCCATTCTCCACTAACCAGGCTGATGCCACCGGAGTACAGAACTAATGAAGAAATGGAAGGGACAGGAACACGTCACAGGTACTCACAAACCTCTACAAATTGTTTACCTACAGAGAAGAGAATCTGTCAAATTCAAAATTCTAAACCCAATTTTCTTTTGATAATAGAGCTGTGAATTAAGAACTTGTATTGTCACCTGGTGTTCCCACTCCAGTTGGCCACCTCGTTTACTGCTAAAAGACATCACCTTCCAGTCCGACACCGAGACCTTTATAATACGATCTTTCACAGTGGTATCCTGGTCCCATTCAGAGAAGGTCGCTGATTGACCATTCCTACTATTAGCAGTGGAACTACTCTCAATGTAGTTGACCTTCGATGCAGCATCTCGAATAAACCTCAGCTCATAGTGTCCGACACTGAAGTTCCACCTTAGGAAAATAAAGCACAGAATTTAAAAAGCAATTCGCACCAACTTGCTTTTAACGTTACAAAACCTTCTGAGAAACTTCATTATCAAATAAAAAAAACTTTACACCAAGCAAATAAGGCCACAAAATGGGTAGGACAGGGAAGTGAAAGCTTGATCAAAGAGATGGCAGGCTTTAAAGGAGCATCGTAAATGGAAAGACACACAAGGAAAAACAGGCTGGGCAGGAAATTTCAAAGTTTAGGGCCTTGGTAACAAAAGGAACAGTGAACAATGGTGAAGCAACTAAAATATGGGACACACAAAAAACCTAGGTATGGGATGGATGCAGGAGATAGCTGAAGCCACTGAGAAATTTGAAAACAAAGTCTGAGATTTTTGAAGCGAGTGGTGCATGAAACTAAGCCAACATAGCCTCTTAGAATATGATCAATTACATTGCAAGTAAGATAGGCATGGACAAGATACTGCACATCACCCCTCAAAAGCCAGTTAGGGAATAATTATAGTTGGCATTAAATACTCCAGTCAGTTTCACAACATAGATTTAAAATGCTTTGCGAAAGAAGCAAGGACAACATGAGGATAAACTTGTTCACAGCAGGTGGTTGGAATATGGAATGCCCTACCAGGAAATGTGCTGGAGGAAGATTCAATTGAGACATTCAACAACACACTGGATGATTTCTTTGAATAGAAGCAGTGTGCATTAAGAGCTCTTGTGGTGCAGTGGTAGTGTCCCTAACTCTGGACCAGAAGCCACAGGTTCGAGTCCCATCTGCTCCAGAACTGTGTAATAAAATCTCTGAGCAGGCTGATTAGAAAGACATAGAAAGAGTGTGCAAGGATATGGGGAGAAGGCAGGAATTTGGCACAAAGGTAAAGATGCTCAGATGAAGAGCCAGTGAAGGCACAATGGACTGAATAGCTTCTTTCTGCAACGTAACAATTCTGTGATATATTACAATATTTCTAAAGTGGAGCTCAGGCAATCCAAGTGGTGCGGCATTAACTCAAGACAATCTGACACCTCGTGTCTTATGGTTTGCAATCAGATTATCCCTCTAGCTCTCAATTTCTTATTTGTGCTAGTGTTGATGCCTGCAAATGCCTTGGGTTGAATCCAGATGTCGTGGAACTGAGCCACAGAAACCAAAATAGCTGGGTGGCTGCACAAAGAGAGAGAGAAACACATGTTGTCCTCTGTTGGAAAACAACCTCCAAATGGTCCCACCTTGTATCAGAACAATAGCAACGAATAGAACAGCGAACTGCACTCACTTCTCTGTACCAGATCGAGGTCCCACAGCCCTGACAGTTTTCTGTGTACGCTGCAGCAGCAAGAGGTCTGAATCCTGCTCAGTCGTTTCCTCTTCCCAGCGGCGGCAGCCTGCTGCGGAGCAGATATATCGCATCTGTTCAGGGACATGGGGAAAGGGAGAAGAGGAGGAATCCTTTTTAACAGTAGTAGGACCACAGAGAAACATTCATTTCTAGTGACAACTCCAAACAGTGCTAGACCATTGGCAGAATCGCAGAATTTAAACCAGCCTTAGCTGGGTCTTCATTTCCCCTCCATTGTGTGTCAGTACAGCAGCTGACCATAGGATGACCAAAACAACAGCTCTGAATTATTGAGGTGAGCTTCTCTAATTGCACAAAGCACTGGCCCAAGTATCTCCTATGGGGTCATAATGCAGCTTACCGTCCAACACTAGAATATATTTATTGAGTACTGACCATAGCTACCTCATAATGCAAACTACTGAATGCATATGATGCTTTTTAAAAAGCATAGAAACAGGTCATTTGGGCTTGATTAAGAGTGCTGCTGTGAGAGGCTCCAGGATCCAACAAATTACAGGTCAAAGTCCAACTTATAACACGTTGTTAACTTGTATTCATTCAGAAAGCAGTTCTGTCGGGAGATTATTTCTTCAGAAAGGAGATTATACCAGGAGCTGATCATCTCGTGCCACTGATGCAGGAGGTTTGCAGGAAGTGCGAACAAACAAGCAGCAAGATGTTCTTATTTCTCAAGCAAGTTGGGATTTTGTGTTGCAGTGGTAGTGTCCCTAGGCCTGGATTGAAGTCACAGAGAAGTATGTACAGCAAACTTTGTTTTAACCGACTCGTTATGAAGTGGCACTCTTGCTAAACCTGCAAAAATTATATACCTAAAATACTGGATGTTTGCTGTATTATCACACTCTCCGCAATGTCCAAGTAGTCAGTTCAGGGTGCAAGTGAGAAGGCACTCTGACACTATGTTTTATTTAAGGCAAAGTTGCATTATTATTTAAGTGATTTATGCTGTAAATAAAGTATAACAGCAATGCATATACTCCCTGCATTACGTTTCTATTACTTAGTGTGTTTTTTCATATTGATGAAAAGTTTGCTATAATAACATCTCTGGATAGGTCGATTAAAAATATCCTCCCTCCGGCAGAAGCTCTTACTGCCTGTGTTGTTTCCAAGGTCCTTTTTCCGATAGTGCTGGCTGATCTAAAAGAGCCAGCTACTGTATTGTTGACTGATCGAAACAGGCATCATGATTTTAGGTAGAAGACTACTGGTTCTTTTTATATAGGACAACTGAAGAAACAATAGGAATATAGAAACAAGATTAGGCTATTCACCACCTTGACCTTGTACCACCATTTAGTGAGATCATGGCTGATCTGTAGCCTAACTCTATATTCTAGCCTTTGGTCCATATCCCATAATAGCTTTGATCTTTAACTGTAATACTTAATCTCAATTAATTACAAAATGAGTTTTCAAGTTTGAAAGACCCATTTAGGAAAATGAATATATATTAGAGGCAACCACTTGTTAACCCTTTCAGAACAATGGGCCAAATTCTACAAGGAGTTGCATCCTCAGATCAAGTTATCTTACCTTTCCAGTGTATGCATCCAACCCATAGCTTGTGTGTGACTTCCCTCCAACCAAGACCACATCATCACCAAGTCGGTAGGAAGATTCCAGCAGCGATTCCACTGTAAAAGGAACCGTCTCCATGCTCTCCCGGTCTCTGTCCCACTGGAACAGGTCTCCATCCAGGGATGGAATTATTACTTTATTCCCAAAGACCTGTGGGTAAGTTCAGCAATTAGGTACATCATACATGTAGCTTAAGCTATGCGCTGCAGCACCAGGCAAATACAGCACTCTCAGACATCCACAATGCAAGCTTCAGGACCAATGGTTTGTTCAGTTAAGATGAAGCTCATGTTCAGTGGCTGTGACTCTGAAGCAACTCCGTACAACATAAATAAGTGGGGAAGATGAGGTGGGGGGAGAGAAAGAGGAGCAAGGGAAGACCAGGAGCTTCTAAATCACAACACCACCTCATTAGGATAACAAAAGTGTAAACTCCCATTAAAAGGTATGTTTTCATCAAGCAACCCAACACCACTTTGAATTAGAACAAGAAGAACACTCGAACGTGTGTGGAATGGACTTAGAGGAAATGGTGGATGCGGGTACAGTTACAATATTTAAAAGACATTTGAATAAGTATATGAATAAGAAATGTTTGGAGGGTTATGGGCCAAGCACAGGCAGGTGGAGGTAGTTTAGTTAGGATTATGGTCGGCATGGACTGGTTGGACCGAAGGGTCTGTTTCTGTGCTGGATGACTCTATGACTAAATAAAAGCAAAGTAATGTGGATGGAGATCAGAAATAAAAACAAGTGGAGAAACTAAGCAGCATCTGTGGAGAGAGAATAATTGTTAACATTTTGAGCTGGAATTTGACCCTTCTTCAGAACTGAGCATGTGAGATCTGATTATTAACTATACATTCATACTCAAGTTGGGAGAGAATAGGAATACATACACATACAAGAAAGAGGGAGGACATACAGCCATCCCTATATAAATAGATGTTGAATATATACCATGAAAAGTAATTACTAACTTATTTTAAAGTATATACTCGCTGATATAACCAGTGAGAGACACATTATTATTCACAAATCTATGCACTGACTGTGATAAAAATTACACACCAGTAGATGCCAGCTATTATAGCAGCTTAATAAACTAGTCCCATTTGCCAGCATTTGGCCCATAACTCTCTAAACCCTACCTATTCATATACCCATCCAGATGTCATTTAAATGTTGTCATTGCACCAACCTCCACCACTTCTGGCAACTCATTCCATACACGCACCATCCTCTGTGTGAGGAAGTTGCCCATTAGGTCCCTTTTATATTTTTCCCCTCTCACCTTAAACAAGTACCCTCTAGTTTTGGACTTCCCTACTCCAGGGAAAAGATCTTGCCTATTTACCCTATCCATGCCCCTCATGATTTTATAAACCTCTATAAAGTCACCGATCAGCATCCGACATCCCAAGGAAAACAGCCCCAGCCTATTCAGCCTCTCCCTATAGTTCAAACTCTCCAACACTGGCAACATCCTTGTAAATCTTTTCTGAACCCTTTCAAGTTTCACAACATCCTTCCTATAGCAGGGAGACAGGAATTGCACACAGTATTCCGTTAGTGACCTAAACAATGTCCTGTACAGCCGCAACATGACCTCCCAACTTCTATATCCAATGCACAGACAATAAAGGCAAGCATACCAAACACTATCCTGTCTAGCTGGGACTCCACTTTCAAGGAACTATGAACCTGCACTCCAAGGTCTCTTTGTTCAGCAACACTCCCCAGGACCTTACCATTAAGTGTACAATCCTGCCCTGATTTGCCTTTTCAAAATGCAGACCTCATTTATCTAAATTGAACTCCATCTGCCACTCCTCAGCCCATTGGCCCATCTGAACACTGAACACTGCTGCCAATCCTTCAGCCTTATCTTTTGCACTAATATGTTGGGCTCTTCCACTTTTGAGGATGGGGATATTTGTGGAGTCTGCTCCTCCAGTGAGCTGTTTCATTGTCCACCGTTCACAATTTGACATGGCAGGACTGCAGAGCTTAGAGCTAAGTGATCACACAATGAACAGGACAGATCAGTCTATCACTTGCTGCTTATGATATTTGGCACAAAAACTGTCCTGTTTGTTAGCTTCAACATGTTGATACCTCATTTTTCAGCATACAAAGTGCTGACTTGATGGTAGTGGTTGAGTGGGGAATATTTGATTTGATTTATTATCGTCACATGTACCTAGGTACAGTGAAAAGTTTTTTGTTTTGCATGCAGTACATGCAGATCATACCATACAAAAGTGCATTAGGGTAATAGCACAGAACGAGGAATACAATGTTACAACTGTAGAGAAGGTGCAAAGAGCGAGATCAGCATTCTTCCCCACTGTTTTTAAACTATTCATATGTGTATACAAACTTTCATATCTTCTGCTCGACAGAAGAGGAGAGAAGAAAGTATAAATCGGGGTGGAAGGAGTCTTTGATGATGTTGGGTGACTTCCCGAAGCAACAGGAAGTATAGCATCAATGGAAGGCAGACTGGTTTGCATGACGGACTGGGCTGTGTTCACAATTCTCTGTAGTTTCTTGCGGTATTGGGTATAGCAATTGCCAAACCACAGTGGACGCATCCAGTTGGAACGCTTTCTATGGCGCACCATAAAAAATTAAGAGTCCTTATAGACACGCTGAATTTCCTTAGCCTCCTTGTTGTTGCACTTTCTTGACCATTGCAACGACACGGGTGGACCAGGACAGATTTCTGGTGATTGTCACTCCCAGGAATTTGATGCTGTCAATCATCTCCACCTCAACACCATTAATACAAAACAGGGGCATACCCTCCACTCTGCTTCCTGACGGCAATGGCCAGCTCCTTCATTTTACTGACATTGGAGAGATTGTTGTCTCTACATCATGCTGCTAAGCACTCAATCTCAGTGTTCTGTTTTGTCATTGCTGGAGATCTACCCCACAACAGGGTGTCATCAGCAATGTTGTAAGTGGATATGCCGGGCTACAGGTTTGCAGATTGTGCTGGAGTACAATTCTGCTGCTATTAGTGGCCCATACCACCTCATAAATGCCCAGTCTGGAGTTGCTAGATCTTTTAGAAACCTGTCCTATTTCACATGGTGATTGTGCCATACAACATGATGGCAGTTATTCTTAATGCAAAGGCAGAACTTCATCTCCACAAGGACTGTCCGGTGGCCACTTCTACTGATATTGCCATGGACTGATGTATCTGCAGCCGGCAGATTGGTACGGATGAGGTCAAGTATGCATTTCCTTCTTGTTGGCTCCCTCATCATCTACCACAGACCCAATCTAGCAGCTCTGTCCTTTAGGACCAGACCAGCTTGATCATTAGTGCTGCTGCCTAACCCCTCGTTGTAATGGTCATTGAAATCCCCCATCCAGAGCACATTTCGCACCCTTTCCACCATCAGTGCTTCTTCCAAGAGTTGTTCAACATTGAGGAATCGGTATTCCTCAACGAAGGGATGACAGCACTTGGTCATTGGCAGGAGGTTTTTCGTCCATGTTTAACTTGAAGACTCAGCCTCATAAGACGTCATGAGGTCCACAGTCAATTTTGAGGACTTGTAGGGCAACTTCCTCTTGAGTGTACTTGATCTGTCTTGCCAGACATATCCAGGGATGGCGAAGCTGGCATCTGGGACATGGTCTATAAGGTATGATTCTACGAGGAGTACTATGTCAGGCTGTTGCTTCACTTGCAGTGAGACAGCTCCCCCAATTTTCGGATTAACCCCAAGATGTTTGTAAGGACGACTTCACAGAGGCAATAGGGCTGCTTCTGTCGTGGGCTTTTCTGGCACCTAGGTCGATGCCGGGTGGTCCGTCTAGTTTTTTGCTTTGTTGAGACTTCATAGTGATTAATACAACTGAGTGGCTTGTTAGGCCATTTCAGAGTCAACCACATTGCTGTGGGTCTGGAGTCATTAGTAGGCCAGACTAAGCGAGGGTGGCAGATTTCTTTCCATGAAGGAAATTAGTGAACCAGATGGGCTTTCCTGACAAACAACACTGGTTTCATGATCATCAGTAGGTTCTCAAAATTTTTTTAAAAATTGAATTCAAATTCTACCATCTGCCATGTTGGGATTCAAATTTTTTTTATTCATTTGTGGGACATGGGCATCACTAGCAGGACAGCATTTATTACCTGTCCCTAGTTGCCCTTGAGAAGGTAGTGGTGAGCTGCCTTCTTGAACCACTCTGTCCTCCTGCTGTGGGTTGACCCACAATGCCATTAGGGAGGGAATTCCAGGATTTTGACCCAGCAACAGTGAAAGAACGGCGATATATTCCTAAGTCAGGATGGTGAGTGGCTTGGAGGGGAACTTGGAGGTGGTGGTGTTCCCATATGTCTGCTGCTCTTGTCCTTCTAGATGGAACTGGTCGTGGGTTTGGAAGATGCTATCTGAAGGTCTTTGGTGAATTTCTGCAGTGTATCCTGTGCATAGTACACACTGCTGCTACTGAGTGTCGGTGGTGAAGGGAGTGGATGCTTGTGGATGTAGTGCCAATCAAGCAAGCTTTGTCCTGATTGTTGTCAAGCTTCTTGTGTGTTGTTGGGGCTTCTCTTATCCACGTAAATGGGGAGTATTCCATCACACTCCTGATTTGTGCCTTGTAAAGGGTGGACAGGATTGGAGGAGTCCCAGAACATTTGCTGAGTTTCTGGATTAATAGCCAGCATTCATAGCACTCGGCTATCACCTCCACTTTTACAATTTTTCTCCTCCTCCAATGCCGGCCTTGTTTTTCCTCTGGAACTCCTACTTGGGTTCCCATCTGCCTGAGGAGTTAGCTTACATTGTTGCCAACAAAACTTAAATCTTTGCACAAATATAGCAGGTTCAATTCTGCTGAAATGCAAGTTATGATATTTATCCTTCAACCAAGATCTTTAAGGAGAGGTTATTTGATTCTCGATTGCTGTTCACAAACTGCCTGTTGTGTTCCCTGACATTGAAATGAAGACTTTAGAAAAGAGATGCCAGAGGTGATCTTACAGAATAAAAACCAAAAGAAGTGCGGATGCTGTAAATCACGAACAAAAACAAAATTGCTGGAAAAGTTCAGCAGGTCTGGCAGCATCTGTGAAGGAGAAAACAGAGTTAACGTTTCTGGTCCGGTGACCCTTCCT